ATGTTTTTGTTCAACAAAGGAAAGGAAGCAACACTTGAATGATTGGTTTACCATGTGAATGAGTTTAGTTGGCTAGTAAGTTTATGTTGCTTTTTTAAGTCCCCTAAATTAACCCAATGATTCAGGGACTATTATTATTCTCACTTAAAAAAAAAAAAATAACCAAGGGAATTGAGAAATCGAGATACTTGCCTCAGGTTAAACAGCTGGTCAGGCAGATGCAGGCGTTCCTGACCTGAAATTTCCAGTCGTCTTCCATTCTGCCTCTCCAAAGCAGGAAGCTGAAGTTCTACCTACCTTTTATAGGTATCAGACACAGGGCATCTCACTGAAGTACCTGCTGGAAGAGCCGAGCAGCCAAGGAGCCAGCGTTATAGAAGTGAAGTGGAGGTATTATTCTGAGGAAGCAGAGAATGAGCTCCCCCTCTCAAATCCAGCATAAGCATTGCACCACCAAATAGGGCACAGACAAATGTCTGCTGAGTCATAGCTTGGAGCATCGATTATGCAATTTATTGTTCTGCATGGGGAGTTTGGAGAATGAAAATCTCCTGTGGGAAGTCAAGGGAAGAGCAAGAGCCATGAAATACATTTGTTGAGCACTCTGGCTCTGGAGTCCTAGACTTGGGCTTATATGCTAACCTACCACTCAGTAAAAGACTTGGCCTCTCTGAACTTCAATTTCCTCACATGTAAAATGGGGCAATGATACTTTGCAGGATTGTGGGATTAAATGAGCTCTGGCCTGTTGAGTGCCTGAAGGATAAGAAGTTCTCAAAAATGTTATTTGTCCTTTCTTTTGGTTTTGTTCCCTGCTTCTCTCCTTGAAACTCACAATCCCAAATCCCATTTTTTACAATATATTAACATTAAAAGAAAGGGGATATAAAAGCTGCTTGCACAATCTTGCCTTTGTGCAAATATGTGGGCACGAGCATCTTATCGGATTGTGTGTGACACACGTTAGGTGCCCAGGGGAAGCTTTGGAATATGAGGACACTGTAGCTTTGAACATGGCCAAGAAAAGAGACCAGGCCAAGTGAGGTCCTGTGGCTTTCACCCCCAAGTGATATAGATGGAATGACAAGAATGAGGGCAGGTTTTACTTGGTGTCTCTCTTTCCCTGATGGCTCTTGTGTGGTTTCCTTGGAAGGGTTACCCTGGAATTTTTTCAGAAATAGCACAGTTGTTTGGGATGATTACAGGCAATCACCATTTCTCAGCATTGGAACTGTGTTTAGCTCACGGACCGGCTACTCCCCAGGACCCGGCTGGGGGATATGCAGCTGGCCTCTTGTTTTTCACATATCAGATCTTGTGAGATTTGAAGACAACCAGCCTCAGGCACTCATTTAGGATTAAGAGTGAGTTTTGATGGTGAAATGTGAAATCTATTCCTACAGAAGAACAAACCTGATGGCCAGCTTATCTGACAGCCTGTTAAAACACAATGTCTCTTAAAATCATGTTTGAAGTCAATGAATACTAAGAGATCAAAGGAGATGATGTCAGGTTAGAGGAGAAATCTTTCTTGGAAATCTTGAAGCCACACTGTCCAATAATGGGGCCAGAGCCATGTGTGGCCACTGAGTACTTGAAATGTGGCGATTTCAAGGACTTGGTACAAAAAAAAATGTATCTCATTAATTTCTTATGTTGATTACACATTGAAATAACATTTTAGATATAATAGGGCAAACAAAATACATTCTTCAAATTAATGTTATTGTTTCTTTTTGCATTCTTTTAATGTGCTACTAGAAAACTTTAAGTTACATGTATGGTTCCCATTTTGCTATTATTAGACAGCACTGTTTTAGGACTTGCACACCGAACTTTTATCCCTACTCACAACTCTGGTTAATACTTACCTCCACTAATACCCTGATTATGATGATCCCAGGCTAGAAACAACCATACATATCCAAAACTTTGCTACCCTAGGGTTTTTGCTCTTGTTGTGAACTTTACATAGGATACTTACCACCACCCTCCCCACCAGACTTCATGTCATGGAGACACAGAATCTGAAGCAGGCTCCAGGCTCTGAGCTCTCAGCACAGAGCCCGATGCAGGGCTCAAACTTACAGATTATGAGATCATGACCTGAGCAGAAGTCGGACGCTTAACTGAGCCACCCAGGTGCCCCAACATTGCCCACCTTCTCAACTAGACTGGGAGTTCCATAAAATAGTCTACAAAATTCATCTATTTCCTGCTCTCAGAACAGCACCTCGTTTGTAGCTGGCTCCTCAGTAAATATTTCCTGAATAGATAAATGTGTCAGCCTTATACCTGACTGAGATTGTTTAAACTGTGTTTCAAAGTTGTGCCCTTTGTTCATATCATCCTGACTGAGCACCTGTTGTAGGCTTGCCGCTGTGCCTTAGAGATATGGTGATAGATGTCTTGGTTTCACTCTCAGGGAGCACAGGACTTGGTGGATTCCAAGCACAAACATGCCTGCAAACAGTTGTCATATTACTGCCATGAGCTTTTTGTTGCATTTCATTATGTATACGACTAAGGAAATAAGGTGATAGAGGTCAAAAAACAAGATAACCTCAAAGCTCAGACTCCCTGTTTACCCATAGCAACAGGAGGTTGTCAAAAAGGCAACTCCCTTGTGCTCTTCTGTTTTTGAAAAACAGATTAACCATCACAAAGAACTATGATTATGGGCAGGACCAAGGCATGTATTTCTAGCTGTGGAAGTCTCTAAATGAGAAGATATTTTGAGCCCAAAGGACACATGTTTTCAGAGATTTTTAAGGGAAAACTGACCTTTTAACACATCCTTACATTGCAAAAGCAAGCTGTAGACCCCTGTGTGGATCAGGTGCTTGTTTTTGCTTGTATATATCCTATAAATGTGTGTGGGAAAGACAAGTGCATTCCAAATGGTTAAACTTGGCTACCTCAAGGTTGTGGAGAAGAGTGGAATAATATGACATTATAACTATTTTCTTAACATACTTCTATATTATTTTATTTATTACAATGAATACAGATAAGTTTTATACTTCCAAAAATTAATTAAGTATATTTTAGAAAGAAAATTTAAAAAGAAATACCACAAAGCCTTCTTCTATTTGATAGGGGATACTTTTCACATCTTGACTTTTTAAAAATCTCAGTTCTGTGCTTTCACTGCTAAAGTAAGGTCAACAACCAGTGTGTGTATCAACAATTAAGAAGTACAGACTGAGCTCTCGTCTGGAGAATTTTATGATGTCATGTCTCTCTTACCATAGTTAGGACTTCCTTAACCTCTTTAATGGAGAGGGTACCCTTTATTGAGGGCACATATTATAAGCCAAGCAATTTGTTTACATATGCCCATTTTATTCTCCAAATAATCCTTAAAACGTAGACATTACAATCCTCACTTCGTGGATATAAAATTTCAGGAAGGTGAGATGAGTTGCCCAATATCACAGAGGTAGTTAAAGGCTGAGCCAACTTTGCAGAGAAGGACTACAAAAACAACTAGAAAACAAGTAACAAGATGTCAATAAGTACATACCTATCAGTAATTATTTAAATATAAATGGTCTAAATGCTGCAATAAAGACAAGGGGGACAGAACGGAAAAAAAAACAAAAAATGAGACTCATCTATATGCTACCTACAACACTCACTTCAGACCCAAAGACACATATAGACTGAAAGTGAAGGAATGAAAAAAGATATTCTATGCAAATGGACATGCACACACACAAAATTTCAGAGTAACAATACTTAACGTCAGTCAAATTAAGACTGTAAAAGTGGTAACAAGAGCCAAGGACACTACATAATGATACAGGGGCCAATACAATTAGAGGATATAACTGTAAATATCTATGTATTTAACACTGGAGCACCTAAATACATAAAGCAGTTGGTAACAGACATAAAGGGAGAAATTGACAGTAATACAATAATAGTTAGGGACTTTAATGTCTGATTTATATCAATGGATAGATCATCTAGACAGAACATCAAGAAGAAAACAGAATCCAACTTTGAACCTAGACCTTTCCAACCTTTTGCCCAGTTCACCACCATTTGCTACCTCTTTCTAAAAGATAAAGTATAACAAAGTATTTTTCAACAGTTCCATATCTGAATTAAACTCTATTCTCAATAGAAGCCTAATTCTAGACACTTGTGAAAGGCTTCTGCTCCACAAAAACTTTTCCCTAACTAGCCTTCCTTGGAGCCTGATAGTTCACAATAGAATCTGTTCGATTGGGTAACATCCCTTGGAATCCACTTTCCAAGTACAAGGACTCTTAGAATTGAGTAACATATTTATAACACCATTATAAGTCACTACTGTCACATGACCATAATGTAAACTAATTACCAAGGAAATAAATCTAGCAAACTTCCAAGGAAATGAGACATGGGACCAGATGATGGAGCTGTGAAGAAGAGCTAATTATAGAGTCAGGAATGTCCTACAGAGATGTCATTGTGGGCTTCTGGATAAATAAAAGGGACCTGGAGAATCCAGATTAGAAAAGGAAGGTATACATCACCATCCAGGACATACTTGATTCAATTACTGTGCTAATAAGGCAATGGGCAGGCACAAAATGGAGAAAATGGGCACATGTATAGTTGTTTTCCCGTACTATACTACCCATCCTAGCGACAAGTTCTACAAATGCCGCTATTTGTCACAGGGTCACTGAGATATAAGATGCCATTGCTCAATGAGCTAAAACCAGAGACCCCATTAAGAGACAATTCAGAAGGCATGTTCTCCCAGGAGTCTGCTCAGAGTGTCTCTCTTAGACACTAAGGGCCAAGAAGTGACTTCTAGATACAGAAGGGACTAAGGGTCCTTGTACTTGGAAAATGGATTCTAGGGGATGTTACCCAATGGGACAGATTCTATGTGAACTTACAAAGCTAATGGATCTTATCTAATATTGGATTTCTACAACCAACCTGGATAAAAATATTGTCTTCCCTCTTCTTTAAATGGAATGTGCTTTTTTTCCCCACAGAAGAAGCGCACATTGAAGGGCTCCATTGAACTCTCCCGAATCAAATGTGTCGAGATTGTGAAAAGTGACATTAGTATCCCATGCCACTATAAATATCCATTTCAGGTAAGTCCCCTATGCCTGAGAGTGCTAGTTCCCCATTCCTTGGATGATGGTTGAAATTCTCAGTCATTGTAATAGAAGGTGGACCAGGGATGACTCTGATCTACAGTTAGATCTTAGACTAAGGCCAGAAGAAAGCTACTATGTTCTTTCAATCATTGATTCATTCATTCCACAAAGTACAAAATTTTGAAAAAGTTGTTATTACTCATTTCCCTGTCTCTCAGGTCTTCCCTGCCTTAACAAAAGCCCCAGTTCTGCGCTCCTAGAGGAAGGAAAAAAACTATCAATGGCCCCAAGCCTAATATTCTTAAGTGCCACTTACTTATGATTTTGAGGCAACAGATTGCAATACTTGATTATAAATTGTTTGGAGGTTCTGAGACAAAAAGAGTCAGGTTTTACAATCTGAGAACTGTCTGGCTTTGTGTTGTCCAATACAGTAGCCACTAGCCACAGTTATATGCTTAATATTTAAATGTAAATTAATTTTAATTAACCAATATTAACAATTCAGCTCCTGAGTCACACTAAGCCACACTGAATGCACAAACATTTCACATGTTCAATAGCTATGTGCTGGATAGCACAGATTATAGAACATTTCCATCATTGCAGAAAGTTCTACTGGACAGAGTTGGTAGAGGTAATCTTTCGTCTTTAGGTCACGACATTGTCCAAATCTGGGCATCACTCCTGGCATCTATGACTCTAAAGGAGTGGGTATCTCCTTCTATGTTCTAGAGTACTATTCCTCTTTGTCAATTTGAGGACTAAATATTCAATTTTTATTGTGATATAGAAAAGGATTCTTTTCCAACTAGAAAGTTGAACTCTTTGAGTTAAAATATTTAGTAATTAAAGCAAATAACATGTATTTCCTCATCACTAAAATTCCAATTAAAAATGAGTTCATGAGAAAAAACTGGTGAAATTTAAAAAAATCTATAGTTTAGTTAATCATTTTGGACCAATGTCAACTTTCTGGTTTGGAAACTGTACTATGGTTATGTAATAAGATGTTATCATTAGGGAGAGGTGGGTGAAAAGAACACAAGAATCCTGTACTATTTTTGGAACTTCTTGGGTGTCTTATATTATTTCAAAATAAGAAGCCTTTTAAAATCTCAATTATACATTTTTCATTTATTATCGTATCCTTTCATATGACAGAAAGATTTTTTTAATCACTTAAAAATTAATATGAGATGGGTGCCTGGGTGGCTCAGTCAGTTAAGCGTCTGACTTCGGCTCAGATCATGATCTCACGGTTCGTGGTTTCCAGTCCCGTGTCCGGCTCTGGGCTGACAACTCAGAGCCTGGAGCCTGCTTCAGATTGTGTGTCTCCTTCTCTCTCTCTCTCTGCCCCTCCTCCTCTTGTATTCTCTCTCTCTCTCTCTCCCAAAAATAAGTAAACATTTAAAAAATTAATATGACAAATAAATCTGCTGTCACATGAAGAGCTTTTTCTCCAGCTATTTTAATTTAGCAATTGCTTACTGGTAACATGGAATCTCAGACAGCAGTCTGAGCTGTCGTGAGTCAGTCTGTGTGAATTCAAATATCTGGATAAAAAGGACACCCATCCCTTAATTGCCCAGATGTTTGCCTTTATGATGACAAACACCTGAGGCCCCACTCTTGGCCCAGTGACTAGATGGACCTGCTGTCAATCATCCTGCTCTCTGGGCGCACTGCTCATCTTGGACACTGTGTATCTCCAGGTTGTGCATGACAACTACCTCCTGTATGTGTTTGCTCCAGACCGTGAGAGCCGGCAACGGTGGGTTCTGGCCCTTAAAGAAGGTAATTACTCTCCTATGCCATTGGGTCCCTGAGATCCCTTGATCCTCTTGCAGGCTTGGATTCCACAGTAAGATAAAGGACAGATGATGGTCAAATATTTCTCACTTTTGGTGTTGGTGCTGGATCCCAACTTTTCACCCTGGGCCCAAGAGGCTACAATCAGTACTGTGTAGGGTCACCCAAATCCAGTTTACCACCCATTTTTATAAAGCTCTGAGCTAAAGATGGTTTTTGTGTTTTTAAATGATCCCATTTTAAAGGAGTACAGAAGTACCTCCATAATATATCGATTTTGCCTGCTGCTGAACAAAACCTAAAATATTGACCATCTGGCCCTTTAAGAAAGTTTGCCAATTCCTGGTCTAGTGCAAAGAGTAAGAGGATGGGTCCTTGAGTGAGATGACCTGAGTTTGAATCCTGGCTCTGCCACTTACTAGCCATGTGTGCGTAGGCAACTTCCTCAGCTGCTCTGTGCTTCAGTTTCCCCATCTATAGAAAAGGAAAGGAGGAGGGAATGTTAATAATAGTACCTGCCTCCAGAACTGCTGTGAGTAAAGCCCTTGGAACTAGCCTGGCCCATCGTTGGCACCCAATAAATGTTAGCCAACTTTAAAGTTTTCCGATAACCAGGAAGCGTATTTCTTAAGGCTCACCTTGCTGAGAGCATAATTAGAACCAGCACAGCACTGGGGTGTATGTGATATGTGCGGCCAGTCTCCTAAGGTGAAAATCCCAGTTCTGCCAATTAGTATGTGAGCTAGGACACGTTCCTTGATCTTCCAGTGTCTTCATTTCCACATCTACAATTCTGACTTGTAACAATAAGACACAGGGTTATGGTGAGAAGTAAATGAGTTAAGACATGGCAGACACTTAGAACAATACCCAAAGAAAGCACTCAATCAGTAGTCCTGTTATTTAGCCTGAAACCCTGGGTTTGCAAGAGAAGTGGGTTCAGATATTAATCTATCTCTAAGTAGCTATGAGGACTAAGAATAAGGAAGCCATTTGGAATCTTGAGAACCATGATGCCTCTATCTGAAAAATGAGAAAAAAAAATACAATTCTTATCTTCTACCAAGGTTGTTGTCTCAAATCAGATATGAACAGGCCAGTACTGGGTAAGCTGGAAAATATTCTCAAGTCATGGGGCTCAGAATAAACACTAAAGTAAAAAGTGACCAAAAAGGCCCCAACTATGTCCATTGGCCATTCTCCTTCTGTGTAAGGGTTTACTCGCAAATGTTAAAGCTGGAAGGAGCATTTGAGATGGTCTATCCAGTTCTCTATTTCTTATACTTCTTTTTTCTCTCAGCAGGAGAACCTCTTTTTTTTTTTTTTTTTTTTTTTTTGGCCTTGCCAAAATTTAACTATAAAACCACAAACCTGGAAAGGATAAAAGCAAAATTCCTGTGGTTAAAGGTGGGAGAGATGAAGGGGCAAGAATCCCTCCCACTCAGTCTTCCCATTATCCCTTGGGCACCTTTTGTGGGGCCCACTGATCCAGTCTAACAATCTCATTGCACAGTGGGGGAGATGAGGCTCAGATGAGGGTGTTGCCCAGTCTAGGGACATATAGTTAACCCAAGGTCAGACAAGAACACAGATCTGCTGATGATTCAATCCAACACATACTCCTCCATAAATGTATATGCTTGGGGAAGAGGCTATTTTTCTGACTAATCCAGGTACTGTTCCCTCAAGCTCACACTGCAGGGTCCAATCTCAAAGAGTTGAGAAGTTGGTAGTCCTTGATAGACTGACCTGAAATGACACTTCTACTGATGCCAATCTCTTTCAGAAACAAGGAATAATAACAGCTTGGTACCCATGTATCATCCTAATTTCTGGATGGATGGGAGGTGGAGGTGCTGTGCTCAGCTGGAGAAGCTTGCAGTGGGCTGTGCCCACTACGATCCAACCAAAAATGGTAAGAGACTGGGAATTCCTTTTCTTCTTTGTAAAATGACTGATCTCTCTAGTAGCAGGAAGTAAAAGCTCTCAGCTTCCCATCCTCAGGGATGTCAGGGATTGAATACAAAATTCTGCATTTTTAGAGCTGTCAGAGGGAAATCATCTGCCTCTAACACTAGTCTGTTGATATTTTTCATCTCAAACCTTATGTCTCTATAGCTTCTTGCTACTAAAAGTGTGGTCCTTGGACGAGTAGTGTCAGCATCATCTGGAAGCTAGTTAGAAGTATAAATTCTCTGGACCCATCCCAGGTGCCAGATAAAAATTTGTATATTAACAAGATCTCCCGAAGACTTGTGCGCATAGTAAGTTTAAGAACCCCTGCTATAACCTTCAAGTTAGAAAATGTGAATGGCATGGTCTACTTAAATCTTAAGTTATAGAGACAGCCTCAGAAGTACATAATATTATTTATTTGTTACAGGGGCATCACATCACATGCGTGTTTCATTATACCAGCTCAACTTTATACACTTGGAGGGGAAGAAAGTAAAACCAAAAGCTGCCTATTGTGCTCTGTGGCTTCTCATTGCCTCCCCTTCAAACTTGCCGTTGATCTCCATAACCTCAGACAAAAGGAGGCCATGGCCTAAATACAAAATGAAAACAAAAGGCATTGTTTCTGGTCCTTGGAAGTCTAAGGCCCCGAACTCACAATTGGTGTGCAACTTGCTTTTCTCTTATGATAGCTCTGGGACCTGACCGTTCAATGAAGTGCTACTTCACTTGCATGTACTTTTACACATGGTGTGCTCCCATTCCTCACACTTGTCTGAGGTAGATATGTGAGGTCACAGAAACAGAAGGCCCTGAGCAGTCTGGAATGCTCAAGTTCACAACAACAGAGGTGGTGTTGAATAGGAATGATGGATTTTGTGAACTGTATTGCTTCCATTCCCCTCTCACCTCAGCCTCTCTTACCCTAGCCACCTTTTCTCATCTGTCAGTTTCTTTTTTGCACTAAAACCTAGTACCTCAGATTGACAACCCAAGGCGGATGTGCTAAATGTAATACATGGCTGGGTTTTCTGTGGCTTCCTGAGTCACAGCCCCTCTTAGTACCTCTTTAAAAACCACCGCTTTTCACCCTCCACCTTTGGAGAGAAAGTTTAAAGTTACCAATCCCATGGTTTAGAGGAACAAAATATATGTAATTTTAGAGGTCAGTGATCTTCGGCATTACCCTACTGATGGTACTCACAAAGACTATTTCATAAAATAAAACAGAAGGTTTTATACAGGTGGAACCCACCACAATAACAAGATGGCCTGGGCTTTCCCCAGTGAGTGAAAGCCCTTTCCAGAGCCAGAGATCTGGTCTCCAAATTCCTGCCAGCACCTTGCTGTGGGCCATTGGATCAGTCGCCCGGCCACGAAGGGCCCAAATGTCCTCATCTCTTAAATGTTAGGGGAAGCTTTAGGGGTCCCAAGATGAAGTCATCTCTAAGCCCCTTTTCAGGTCTGAAACTCTTTGAATCTGTGTTTCCGTTTATCCATCTTCACTGCGCATGTTGCAGCTGTCCCTCTTCAGGGTACATAGCACTCCCCTCCACTGAGTGGTAGACATACGACTGAGGTGTGAGGAACATCTGAATGACACACCAGGATGACAGCTGGAGAGGACCGGTCATGCTGAACTCCTTCCCACATGAACCAGGCCTAACTACTGTACAGTCACTCTGCTAGCGGTCCTGTATTTGTTTTGAAACAATGGGGTTGTGGAAAGCTCTTAGCACATTTGCGGGCACTTACTTAGCTCTCAATAAATGGTAATTGTGCCTCTTAGTCTTTCTTATTTGTGGACAAAAGAATCTGAAGCTGAAATATAGCAGCGTGTGTGTGTGTGTGTGTCTGGAAATCAGCAGAGGTGGTTGGGTAAAAATGGACCCTGCTATACCCCATTCATTTCTGCAACCAGAACTGGCCCTGAGGTCACTACATACCAACTTCACACAGAGGAAGAGGAAAGAAGGAAAGAGCAAAGCCAGAGGAAGAGATACCCTTGCAGAATGTTCAGGGCTGGACGGAGCCCAAGGCCACACAACTCACTGCCGGTGGAACTAGGGTTAGAACCTCAGTCCCCGGGTGCTCCGAGTTGAGTGCTGAACAGGAACAATGCTCCCTGTTATGCTTGTTTTCTTCTTCTCTGTTAATCACAAACCCAAGGCAATACCCCACCCTGTCCTTGCTTACAGAGTTAGCACAGGTGCTGGGTTCCCATGTCACTGTGTGGGTCTCCTCTTATCATAATCCTTAGAGGTACTGTCCAACTCGGGCAGTGATCAACTTCATGCAGTGAGTCAATCCCATGCAGAGATGAGGAGCTCACCGCCTACGTATGGAGCCTATTCCTGTCTTATCTCTAATTATTACATAATCCGTGAACTGAGCACAAGCCTCTGTGCTGCCTCCCATGCCACACATATTCCCAGTTATTCAACCTTGGTCTGTTGATTCTAGGCCTGACCTTTTCAGTGCCTCAAAGGAAAAATACTGAGACACAGAGAGGAAGAGATGAAAGGAAGGAGAGAAGAAAAGGGAGTTAAAGAAGAGAAGACAAAGGAGGAGAGAAGGCATAGAAGAGAGGTAAAGGGAGGAAGACATGGAGATACAAACATAGAGAGGGGTGCTGAGGGTGTGTTGTTTGGAGGAGGCAGCAAGAACACATGCTCAGAAGTGTTGATGTAACTAAAAGTAGATTTCAGCCCTCCCAAAATATAACTCAGTGACCCCTCACCTCACCCACCCTCTCCTCAAGCCCACGGCCTCCTCAGGAAGCCAGTGAGTCACTGTTACCCTGAGTCACCAATTCCCACTCCAGGGGTGAGCAGGTGGTAAGTGCGCTTATGGAGGTCTCCTGGCCCACAGGGAAGGACACAAGCCTAATGGCTCTGTAGTAACCTTTGGATTGGCTTTTCCTTGAAATATTAAATATGAACTTCTAGAAGTTTCTGGCATCTCCTAGAAAATGAAATGAGGAACCAAGAGGCTAAAAGAGATAAAACACAGGATCTATGAGGCCGATTTTCATTTCTCTGTGTCTTATCATCTCCTTCTGGCCTCTTCTGTTGTTCTCCTAAAGGCTGCTTTTCTCTGAAAAGCCCCCTGGGCTTTCACCTCCGGTTGGGCACATTCAGTTTCATGCTCATTTTCTTTTTCTGTTTTTCTCGTTTCAGCTTCAAAGAAGCCTCTTCCTCCTACTCCTGAAGACAACAGGGTGAGTGAGGATTCAAACTCTGGGCACGGTGGGCGCTCAGCCCTGCGACTGCCTGACTGCCATGTCCCCTTTGCGTTTCTCCCCACCCCCACCCCCAGATTTCTCATATCCTGGGCAAATGCAGCTGGTTGTAGTAATTCAGCCGAAATGAATACCCTAGGTTTCTTGGACATGTCTCATGGGTCAATTTATACAAAAGCACCGCTCAGTTACTAAATCCTCAGTTTACTTTATTCTCTCAACAAAAATTTATTGTATCAAGCTGTGCATCGAGTCCCCTGACCACTTAGGGGTACAATAACAGCTATCTATGTACAATGTGTATTTACTCCACACCTTAATTTTGATAACACTTTATATTTTTCTAGGTACTTCCATACTTTTACTATCTATTTCAAAGACGTGTGTGTGTGTGTGTGTGTGTGTGTGTGTACATATATATACACAGAAGTCCTCCTTTCCTCACTCTGCATTTTAGCCACTTCAGAGGGATATAGTTTTCTTCTCATTTTAAACCTGGAGAAATCAAGTCCAAGAGAGGTTTTTAGGCTTTTCCAACGCCATTCAGCAACTTAGTAGTTAAGCTACTAGGCAGCAGAGCTTCTGAGGTGGTGGGCTTTAACTCAAGTGGTGGTTCTCAAAGTGTGGTCCCTGGACCAGCATCATCAGTCTCACCTGAGAGCTTGTGAGAAATGCATTGTAAATTCTCAGGCCCCACCCCACACCCACTATATTTATAACTCTGGGAAAAAGACCCAGCAATATACGTTTTAATAAACCTCCAGGTAATTCCGGGAGAAACTGCAGTGGGAGAAACACTTATCTAATCTACTGACTTATAAGATTTAGGTGATGTCAAGCCAACTCTGGGAAGCCAACACTGGCTTGCAGATGGTTTCCCCCATAGTCGCACCTACAGGGTGGAGGTAGGATCTAGGCTCAGAGTATTATAACATTATTATTATAAGCAGGTTTCTTACCACATGAATGTCTAATAGAACATACAAAAGTTTTACAAGATATGGGATACTGCAGAGATTTTTGCATTCTTGGCCCTCTCTCATTAAACATTAGCAGTATACCTAAAACTTTGTGACACTCAAAACAACCCCAAAGATGTCCAAGCTGGCCCTTATAGAGAGGTACTGCTATGGTTTTGGAACCCTGCTCTGGACTTTCTTTTCATAGGGATTGATCAATTAGTTGGTCCCATAAGGGGATAAATACCATGTCATATCTCTCCTTTATCTTCAGGTGTCCTTTAGTTCAACTCTTTCCTCCATTAGCTGTTTGGGTGAAAGCCTCAGTCCCAATGACTCTTATCTGCAGTACTCCGATATACCACCTCATTAGCTCACGGATATCTAGACTTCACATCCTAACCTGGGCTCAGCTGGGGTGACATACTACATCACTATGACAAGCTCTTCTTTCTAAATCTCCAAGATTTTTATACCATCAAATGCTTCAATGTGAAAATAGAAACTTTGGCTTCCCAACGCCAAATCTCATTCTAGCCAGTAGTCTCAATCTCTTCCATGTTTACTGTCTCACAAAATCTACCAACCTGTACCAAATGTGCCCATCCTCAACTCTCACAACTGTTTGCTTTATAGTCTCTTCTTCAAATCTTCAATATATCATCTTTAAAAAGGTACTGAGAGGTAGAGACTTAGGCAAGAGAGCCCCTAAGAAGAAGAAGGGAGCCCATGTGCTATAGCAGAGAGAGCCTTAAGACTAATTCATGCGGTAAACTTGGTCATATCCGTCTCTTCACTTGGGCTTCAGTTTCTGCATTCTGAACAAAAGAATGGATTGAATGATCTCTCAGAGGCATTTCAGCTCTGATAGTCTATGATCCTATGGATCTGGACAAACCCACATATCAAATCAGAAAGGCATGGACTGAAGAACCGAGTGTTCACTGCATCACTTTCACCAAGAGTATGATGCTTCCAGCAGAGAGGCTGCAACGTGCAACCAGCAGACCTGCATGAAAATCATGCAGCTGCTTGGAGTTCACCGTGGTCAAAATTCACCACACAGAATGAAAAGGGCAATGAATTCCAGGTACTGAGTGTCTGTGTCATTTTCAGCACTACAATCCTAACTCCTAAAAGAAAGCCAACTAGAGAAGTCAGGTGGTTTCAGCGAATACCCAATGGATTATAGGAGCTGGTGTGTTGAACTGGCCTCGATGCAGGAGCGAGTTACCAGTTAAGGACTTATTGACGTGGTTCCACAGTTTATCTCCTTTCTGTGTCATCACTCAATTTTGTTTTCTCCCACCTCCAGCGATCGCTCCAGGAACCTGAAGAAACCCTAGTCATTGCCTTGTATGACTACCAAACTAATGATCCACAGGAACTCACGCTACAACGTAACGAGGAGTACTACCTGCTGGACAGCTCCGAGATTCACTGGTGGAGAGTGCAGGACAGGAATGGGTAAGGCATCTTTGTGGTTGCTGTCCCAGTGCTTGAGGTGAGGTGGGAATACAGAAAACCATGAGGCAATTTGTGCTGCCTCTGTCAACAGGCCCGCGGCACTGAGTTAGGAGAGGAAAGTAGAGGTAGAAGGAAGAGGAAGAAGTGGTTGAGGGAAGTTTTTCTACTTCTCAGAAGTGGCAGAGGCAGTCACTTGCTATGCTCCCTCATTAAGCATCCCCCCAGCCCCCAAACCCATCTAAAAACTCCCTGGGTTTTTTCACTGACATCCACAGAGTAGGAGATTGGCAGCTTGTTCCACACGGAAGCACTATTGTTTTTGAGTGTTCAGATGAGACGGAAGGTACATTCCATTGTGAAGTGTCTATTTTTGGTGAAAAGAAAAGGTGTGCAGAGATGGTACAGATTGGTGGTTATGTTAAGAGGTATCAGGAAGAAGATACTAAAGAGTTAGCTGCACTAACAGTCTCAACTAGCCATCTAAATGATTCATGGAGAAAGTTCACTTGTGCAAATACCAATTGCCCACTATGAGACTTTTGAAGGAAAAAAACTTGTGAGCCCTTCGCTGATCTGAATAACAACAAAATTGCTCTTTTAACCTTCAGAATGCTCTGGAATGTATATAACTTAGATACTAGTGCTTAGTTTTAAGGCATCAGATCCACACTGCTTTATAAAGACTTTAATTTTACCTTTTAATATATCAGAGGTATTTACCCAAGCCATGGAATATTTCCAGAATATGATTTCAATGATTGCACAAATCCAACACAAAAGTGTACCATCATTTAGGGAATTCTCTTGCTGGGAACTCAGATTGTTGCCAATATTTTGCAACTATTAACCATCCTGCAATGAGCATCCTTGTATATTAATATTAGGGGTTTATATATTTTTAAGTATGAGGTTATTACTGGTATAAGAATATAAAAAAAGAAAAAGGAAACACTCCATCACTGCAACATTTGGATAGACGAGATTGAGGTTTTATTTTTTTAAAATAACAGTAGAGAGAAATATAGTTGAAAAATAAGCCACCCTCCATTTGTCCCCAGATTAATTCCAAAAGTAATCACTATCAACAGTTTCTTGTGTATCCCAGACAAAAAAGTTATACATACACAAATGCATCCTTTTTTCATTTGCACTAAGGTGATTCATTCTGTTCTTCACCCTGCTGTTAACCTTCAGTAATTCATCTTGGAGATTGTTTCATTTCAACAGATAGAAATCTACCTTACTTTTAAATTAATTGCGTAGTTTTAGAAGGTATGATTGTATTATAAATACTTGAATTATCTGAGATGGTGGGATATCTAGTTTCCAGGTATTTGTTTTCTTTGTTTGTTATATTTTTTTAAGTTTATTTATTTTTGAGAGAGAGAGAGAAAGAAAGAGAGATAGAGAGCGAGAATCCCAAGCAGGCTATGCTGACAGGCTCCATGCTGACAGTGCAGAACCTGACATGGGGCTTGATCCCACCACTGTGAGATCATGCCCTTAGCTAAAATCAAGAGTTGGATGCTCAACCGACTGAGCCACCCAGGTGCCCATCTTTGTTTGTTATCTTAAACAAGGCCACTGTCAAAAACCTGTATTGCTCATGCTCATGTTTCTGGTCAATATTTTGAAAAAAAATTGAAAAAAAAAATATTTTTGAGAATATATTTCTCTTTTGAAAAAATATATAGCTCACATTTCTAACTATGGAACTGTTGAGTCAGAGTATGTCTCAATTTTGATAGATAATTCCCTCAAAAAGGTTGCCTAATTTACATTTCCCTCTGCCCACCAATAGAGTGTGGGAGTGTCAACACTGGGTATCACTAACCTTAAAAAAAAAAAAAAAAAAAAAGCTAATCTGATGAGTTAAAAAAAAAACACATGCACATAAGTACCTTTAGGGTTAAGGGTTTACTTTTTACATACACTAAAACTTGCTTTGTCAAAGTGCCTCCTCTTTGAGTATCTTTATTGATGCCACTGCAGAGGGAGTGAGGAAGGGGTGTCAAATATGGTTAGCTCAAGCACTGTGATGTGCCCTGGGAGACAGTGTTGCTTGCTAGCTGGGAAGAGACCCCAAAACATTTAAGGTGGAACCTCCCTCTCTAGCTAACTCGTGGAGGCAAGTGAGGTCGGTCACATCACCTTCTCTTTGCCTAGTATAAGGAGGCTCATATCAGAAACAGGTTTAAGATAGTTCAGTTCTACAGACATTAGAGGACTTTACTCAGAAATTCACCACTTCGATCAACTGACATTTATTTTAGCACACCTGATGTGCCAGGAAATTTCTTCTCCTAGGTTTCATTTCCCCAAATGACAGCTTACACTTTGTTCAGTGGCCTTTGGAAATGTTCAGCTCTGTACTTCAAAGGCCATTAAAGAGGACCCCCTAGAGTCTAACTGGTGTTTTGAGAATTTCCCCAGTGTGCTTTGTAATAGTGCAGTATAGTGCAAAGTACACAAGATTGGGAGACAGAAAACTTGGACCTTAGTATCAGTGGCTCTTGTATGTCTTTGGAAAAGTCACTTAACCTCTGTGGATCCATTTCCTTATCTATAAAATGCAGATGATGATATCAGCTCTGCTGATCTCACATTGTTGAGGAAATCAATGAGATGATAAAAGTGAAAAGTGCTTTGTAAATTCTACATACACATCCAAATGGAGAGAATTACCATTTGTGATTATGATATTATTACATAGTAGTATGTGGCTGGCATATCAGAACACATTTATTCTATTTCAAAGCAAAAATGGTATTTGACCTATTCATATAATTGTAAACATATGGTGTGGCAAAACCAGACATAATTAAGAGGGATAGCAAATTTTAGAATAACTTGACTTCCATCAGTTGGCACAGACTGTCTTGAGCACCATATTAAGGATACTTCTGAAGCTGGATGTTTAATTCTCCAAAGGACGTATGTCACGATTGACTAGCAGTGTCAGACATGGGCAAAAGATATGAGATAATCATCCCATATTTGACATCCCTGTTCTTGATATCTTCACTCCTTAAAACAGTTCTATGAAATAGATTACACATTCCCTAGTAACCATAATCACTAAATTGATAAATGGCTTTATTATATAAAAATTAAAACACTTTATGAAATAAAGAGAAAGAAACTCTTAGGCATCTTTTTATAGATTGGTAGAATCTAAAGGAATTTCGTGTGCAATCTAAGTCCCTCATTTTACAGATAGGGAGCCAGAGGCCCAGAGACTAGAAGAAACATTGTTTTCACCTTGTAGCATTAAATGCAATAATATGTGTGAAATTATTTTGAAAATACAAAGTTATGCACAAATGTATTTTCATGTGCTGATTGGTCTCTTTATCCATGTCTTTGTTTATGCACAAATATGTAGTTCTGCTCAAAGGAAAGTCCCACCTCCAAATCCAGGGTGACTTTATTCTTTTTTCTCATGTTTTACCATTTATATCTGAAGGAGGTGAATTAATAAAAAATATTAGGGAGACCTTGAATTAAAAGCTTATAATGCTGACTGGCATTTGGGACCTGTGGTTGGAAAGTGATTTTTTATATTTTAATTATTTTGGTTTCCTGACTATAAAATTGTAGCACTAAAGTGGAAAAAATACTGATTATCACACCCCCCAAAAAATGTTTCCTTAGAGAAAATAGAGACCTTTTTCCATCAGAGGAAATTTCACAATGAGGAGAGCAACAAACAGAGCTTTTTAAGTAAAATAGCCACTTTTTTAATTTATTATGGTTCAGGGGTGCCTGGGTAGCTCAGTCAGTGAATCGTCTGACTTCAGCTCAGGTCATGATTTTACAGTTTGTGACTTTGAACCTTTCCCCTCCCCCACCCCCGCAAGTCAGGCTCTGTGCTGACAGCTCAGAGCCTGGAGCCTGCCTCAGATTCTGTGTCTCCCTCTCTTTCTGCCCCTCCACTGCTCGCATGCTCTCTCTTTTTCTCCTTCAAAAATAAACATAAAAAATTTTTTATTTATTATGATTCAGATTTTAGCGGTAAAATCTATTGCCTTTAACAGATAGCAAATTGTTGTTATTTTTAGACACTCTTTTATTCTAAAACTTTAAATTGTCTTATGAGTGTCAAATAATGCAAGAGTCCCCATCTTTGGGGCGCCTGGGTGGCTCTGTCAGTTAAGTGTCCAACTTCAGCTCAGGTCATGATCTCATAGTTTGTGGGTTTGAGCCCTGCATCAGACTGTTCTGACCGCTCAGAGCCTGGAGCCTGCTTCAGATTCTGTGTGTCTTTCTCTCTCTGCCCTTCCCTCTCTCACACTCTGTCTCTGTCTCTCAAAAAAACGAATAAATGTTAAAAAAAATTTAAAAAAAGAATCCCCCATCTTTAAATGACTTTTAATGGATTCAATAACCTATAAAATGGAGATGTGAATATTAGTCCCATAATAGTCTAAACACTAATTTCCCTCTTAACAGGCATGAAGGATATGTACCAAGCAGTTATCTGGTGGAAAAGTCTCCAAATAGCCTGGAAACCTATGAGTAAGATATTTTATTTGTTTTCTAAAAACATGGTACTGACGTCCTCCTTAGACTAGGGGTAAATTATTGGTTGATTGTAAGAGCACCAGGATTTTCTTCCTTCATGTATTTTGATCCCTAAATAAACAGTAGAGGAACACTCTAAATAGGAGAAGGGACAGATATATGGACTCACCTCCCCTTTTATCAAAGAGATGATTCTAAGATACCTATGAAAATTGTGGTGAAACGAAAAGATTCTTCCAGGAATCTCAGTCTTACTTAAGGAGAAAAAACAAACAAACAAAGAACTATGAACACTGGATCAAATACAAACTCACTTAAAACATGCTCTAAGGCAATACTTCCAATACCAAAATAACAGACAAACAGGTATTAAACATCTGCTAAGCTTGTATTGTTTATTTCAAGCTGTCATTTATAGAAGAGTTCACATGGATATAATTTTAATGGAGCTACTCAATGTTTAATAAACCCAATTATAGTGGACAGTCTTCTCACCATGTATGTATATTCCTTTGCTCCACTGCTGAAAGTCCCAAAAGCAATAGCACCACAGCAACATTGTGTTCACAGATCTTCCTTTCTAAATAACACTTCCCGCGAAAATGGAGTTCTTGGAGAAATGGCTTGGGATTCAGAGTTGATGCAGGGAAAGAACAAGATGAACTTGGAACATCTTGCACCCAAAAGTAAAGAATTACTGCTCCCCCCCACGTATTTTAACCATGTGGATGTGTCAGCTGGGCACAGAAATCAGCTTAAAATTGTTCCTTCTGGACAAATCTGAGACAATTTGAGTATCAAAATAAATAATGACAGTAATAAGTTACAATCCACTGAATAAAATAAGAATTGATAACAGATAGTTTGATAGGTAAATAAATAAATAATTAGAATGCCAGCTAATGAATGCTCAAGGAATGAACACATTTAAAAATCACCATTTGTAACTCAGAGTGTCAACTAATTCAGACAAGAATCATCAATAAATGTCACAACGAGGGAGGTGAAAGTTTGATATTTACATAGTTTCAAAGTATGTTCTCACAAATCACTTATTAGCAATAAAGTGGAAATATCTGTAGACCCTCATTATAAACAAGTGATCAAAGTTCACATCAATAACAGGGCAAACAGACATCACATGTCTCTTGATGTGATGTACTGAGAAGGACACAACATCACTTCTGTGATATTCTTGCCCAAACATGCCTAAATTGAATTTCATCATGAAGAAATAAAAGACAACTCCAAATTGTGAGATATTCTACGATATAACTGGCCTGAGCTCTTCAAAAATGTTAGTATCATAAAAGCCACAAAAGGCTGAGAAATTGGTCCATATTGAAGGAGCCTAAGGAGATGAGTACTGACTAATGCACAAGTAATCCTGGATTGGATCTTGAGTCATTAAAAAAAAAAAAAAAGGGACAAAACACATTATTGGGACCTCCAGCGAAATTTGAACAAAGTCTGAAATTAGGTAATAGTAGTGTACCAATGTTAAATTTCCTGATTTAGGTAATTGTACTATGTTCATATAAGTGTATATTCTATGTCTTAGAAATATATACTGAAGTCCTTGTAAAAGTTTATTCTCAAATGGCTCAGAAAAAAACTATATATCTATTCAGAGGGAATGGTAAAGCAAATACGGAAGATGTCAATATTAGTTCATCTGGGTTAAGTGTATATGGGAGTTCTTTTATTGTATTTTTATAGCTTCTCTATACATTTGAAATTATTTAAAAATTAAAATTGTTGACGTTCTCACCAAATGTATGGTACCAAGGTTGAAGAATATTAGCTAATGAAGACTTCTATTAACTCATTTGGGCTCTTATTAGTTCAAATGTGGTCAAGTTACGTATTGCTGAAATTCTAATAGACTTGGCAGAGAAGAGCGATCATTTTCTGAAGAGTCAACCTGCGACTGGGTTTGATCAAGTACATGTTAGTAGCCCCTCTCTCAGCTAACAGAAGAGTCATCAGTTCCAAGAACACTTGAGCTGCAATGAAACATGTATGAAATATGCCAAAATAAAGTTCTTTCATTTTTTTATAGTCAATGTCTTTAGGACAAAATAGGTATTTATTTCAAATGATCACTGGACTGGGATGTTCTGTTTGATTTTTGCTTTTAATCAGAATCTCATTCTTTATGATAGAGGGGACAAATTCAAAATTCCACCAGAGTATAAAGCAATAGGGAATGGTGGAACCTGGCGGAAATAAAAAGATGTATTCCTTCTCCTGAAGGTATTTTAAGTCATAAAATAAAAACCAACTACCCATACAAACAAAACAGTCTTTGAGTCCTACTTATTCTACATATTGTCAGTTTGTATTTTTCAGATTGCAGCTAGGGAATAAAATGACTCACAGACATCCAGTCATTTAGAAGCATATATCTATGTATATTTAAAATACCAAGTATGGTAATGTTTTATCCTATGGTATTTAAGATACCCAGTATGATGTTTTATCCTTGCACTTAACATTGTCTACTTATAGGGGGTATCTGCATAAGAACTCAGAAATGCACCATCTGGGAACATAATCATAGGTTGTTAAATCTATGGATTGGCTTTATTTAGGTCCCCTGCCCTGATTGGAGGGCATGACCTCTGGCAAGTTTCCTCACCAGGCTGGATCTCATATCTCTTTCCCTTAAAATAAAGGGTCAGACAAGATGAAGGAGGCACTCTTGCTGGCATTCCCTCCCTGTTCCTGAACTCAGGGTAGACATCCCTCTTCGATAGTGACACACTTACCTACCGAGCTCAGGCACACATCTTCAGGCAGCTAGGATGAACTGATCAGAGCTTGCCCATGAGCTGAAGCGTATTAGCCATCCCTCAAATACGTAAGTTACAAGAGCCCACTGACATATAAAATACCATTCTGTTGTATGATATTCAAAAGCTCGGGTGGAGGTGCCTGGGTATCTCAGTGGGTGAAGCATCCCACTCTTCATTTCGGCTCAGGTCAGGATCTCACAGTCATGAGATGAAACCCCATGTCATGGGCATGGACTCTGCTTGAGATTCTCTTTCTCTCTCTTCCTCTGCCCCTCCCCCATTTGCTCACATGCAGATGTGCACGCACGCTCTCTCCCACTCACTGTATTAAAAAAAAGCTCAGATGGATCCATTAATTCCCTTATTCTGGCTACGTTCTATGTTTTAAGTTTTTTAAAATGTGTATTTATTTTTGAGAGAAAGAGTGGAGGGGGAGGGGAGAGAGAGGAAGATAGAGAATCCCAAGCTGATAACACAGAGCCCAATGTAGGGCTAGATCTCACAAATGGTGAAGTCATGACCTGAGCCGAAATCACTGACTCAGCCACCCAGGTGCCCCTGTGGCTACTTTCTAATAGACAACAAGTTTGATGAATGGTGTTCTTTCCCACCTGAAAGTTCTCTCCTCTGGGGTTTATACCATTCAAAATTAATTCTTAATGGATGATCATTCATCTTATCTAATAAATGGCCAGAGGGGCCAGGATGTGGCTCAAATATTAACAGAAAAATTCAAAAATTTCGTCCCTAAAAATCATTCATATTCTTTTTATCACTTTTCAGTCTTTTTTACCAGACCCCAAAATTATAAAAATAATGTATTTACTTTGCAGAAGATCTTGAAAACCAGGCTAAAAGAAACTACTACAATTATTTTACAAGGCTAAACTTGCAAATTTGTACTCAATTCTTATAGTTGCCCTAGCATCATCCTACTTATGACCACTCACTGATGAAATGGAGAAGATAAAGTTTTTCTAAAACTCTCTTATGGAAAATTTCCAACATGCATAAAAATAGAATAATATAATGAACCTCCATGTACCCAAAACCCAGCTTCAAAAATTATCAATATTTTACCAATTCTAATTCATTTGTTCCCTTCCAGTTAAACATTTCATTACCGGAAATGGTGCATACCTTTGTTTTGTTTTTAAGTTTGAAAGCACTAGTACACAGGAAATGGCTAAATCATTTTCTAGCATTAATTATCTTTTACAAGTAACTAATAAAAAATTTTTAAGTGACATTGACATATGACTTTTTCCTGCTTTCAGGTGGTACAATAAGAGTATCAGCCGAGACAAAGCTGAAAAACTTCTTTTGGACACAGTAAGTCTCCTTGACCTGCCTTTGACTTAGAATAAAATGAATTGTGCTTCTTATTCCCCAGCCATACTATGGTTTATGCCAGTGTAGTAAGTTGGCACTTTAACAGTGATTTTCATATCCAGTGAAAATATTCTGGAGATTTATAGAAACTAACATACAACAGAATAAGAAACCCACGGAGGGTCCAACATCTTGGTATTGGCATGCAACTGTCATGACAGATATAGTTGTCTTTCCATTTGTGATGGTTGACCCTGGGGAGTTTTCCTTGCCGGCTTCTCTGGCTAGGTCATGAGTGGCAGTGACTTAGATGCTACCTGGTTGGGCTGTGGGTCCAGAAGAAATACATCACTTGATTTAATTTATTTTTTATGCAGCAGTTCTCAAGAGACATGCAGTGTGAGTATCAGGACTGATCTTGCCTAGGGATGTCAGAATCAAGGGAGAGAGAAATGAGAAGAGAGAAAGCATGGTGTGGTGGGAAAAGAGCACAGGTCCTAATCTCTGCTCGGTCACCAACACCGTGTGTGAGTTTGGGGAATTTTTTTCCTCCTGGGTCTCAGTTTCTCAATGAGTACAAGATGAGAGTTGGACTAAATCAGCAATGACAGTTATCATATTCATACTGTCGCCCTTTGCTTCTGATCTTGTGTGACACAATTGATCACAGTCCATGGCTTTAAGATCCTTCTCAACATGGTGCTCCAGGCAGCTGCCATCAGCTGATTGGCCCTCAAGGTGAACCCTTTCTTCCTGGACCAGGAGGTCATTTGTTACTCTATGCCAGTGCCTCTCTATGCCATCTGTGTGGATGGATCACTTTTTGTGGTTGGTTTTCAATTTCCAACTTGTCATAGACTTATCCTTTGTAAAATAAATAAAAATGAACTACTAGAAAAAAATAAAGAAGCAAGGACACAAAAAAAAGCAAGTTCAATTTTTTATTAGTCTTAGATTCATTAGACCTAAAATTAGTCTAAGTGCTATAAACAATTTCTAAATGCTTACTCTCAATTTCCCCTGCTGCCTGGTGGTGGACCAGCGACGATTTGCCAACTGGAACCCAACCGCAGACCACACTTTGGGTAGAACTTAAAACTGCACATTTAGAGCTTTTTTCAGAGAAACCAAATGTATGGAAGTATTGAGAAAAAGTCTTCCACAGAGCAATCAATTAATTTACCAGCATGTATGCCTAAAGCAGTGGTTCTAGGCCCGTCTGCATATTAGAATCACATGGGAACCATTTTTTAAAAATATCAATGTCCAAGCCCTACAGCAGATTAATTAAATCAGAATATCTAGTTGTTAAGACCTAGGCTTTAATAATTCAGAGAAAAATCATTCCAGATGAGTTTAATATTCAGACATTAACGACCCCGTGCCCAACGCTAGCCTTCCTGGTGAGACCAGTAAACTGTAGGTATGAGTTTTTGGAAATGTTAGTCTCCCTGTGCCAAAATGTCAACCCTAACTCTGCCATTTCACCATATTTTGTAGCTTGTATTTGAAGGTTTTCCTCTCTGTAAAAATTTTAAATTAAACTGAAAATCTCTCCTGCACAGGATGAAGGTGGGGTGACTAACTCATCTCGGTTGGTCCTGGGACTGTCCCAGTTTTAAAACGGAGAGTTCAGTGCCCAGAAATCCCTGACTCCCCTCAGTCCTGGGCAAACTGGGACAGCTGGTCACCCAAACTGGTAGCCACTGTTTGCATAGTTAGGTATGAGACTTAGAGAAGGAGACCTGCGAAGATGCCAGGAAGGAGATGAAAGTCTGTGATGGGAAGGTGGAGGGTTAATGAATATTGTCAAAGATTAATTTCAAGGCATGCAGTTAATTATTGGCACACAATTTACTTTTGTAGAAAGTGAAACTGGTGACAGATTGATTCATTCTATCAAAGGCAAAAATAGAATTTCTCTAAGAGGAAAAGGGGAGGGGAGAAGGAAAAACCCATAGTCATACTGGGGAGCAGTGAACTTCATCTTCTTGGGGTAAGTTGCCGATTAGCAAGCAGTTATCAAAGAGGGCAAGGTGAGAAGTTCTGCCCTTGGGCAGCTTGTTCACATCAAAGAGCAAGTTCAGTTGTTTACAGATTTCCCCAAAGACTCTGTGTGTTTACCAGTGAAGGACGCATAACAGACAGCCTGCGCTATGTCAGCTGTCTCTGTTAGCAGCCATCTCAGCTTTGGGCGTGTGTGCACCATTTCCTTTGTTAGGAATATATCTGGCTATAAACTCAAGGACCTTACCATTTTGCTGAGCACAAGACAAAGACAAAGCACTTAGCGGTGTTTGAGACAGGACCTTTGACCTCAATAAGCGTTAGACTCTACTGAAAAAGAAGACAAACTGAAGAGTCAGAGGACAATCCAAGATAAACTCTGAGCATGAGGCAGGCTTTCAGTGGCCTCAGAGTTCAGAGAAGATTCTAAAGAGTCAGATCTCATGGGGGGAAGAGGAATTGATCTGAGTCATTACTGGACCCTGGTTTCTCCTTGGTTCCACATCAACTCGCCACTTAATCATTTCCTGTGGTCCCCAGTAGACCACGTATTAGAATCACTGAAAGCCTTAAAAATCCAGAATCCCAGGCCCCAACCCAGACCTACAGAATCAGAATCTCCAGTTAGTTCCTGGGACTCTGTGTTTTTTTCAAACGAAACTAACGATGCGTATGCAGCGGCTCAGCTCTGACTTCACCCGGCCTATGTTATTGGACAACATAGTGAAATCTGACCGATAAGAATTAATTGAAAGGGTTGCAAAATTAATTACAAATCTGAATTATACAGAGTTTAAGCAAGTGTAGTTTTCTTATTTTCAATCACATATTGGTTAATGAAGTGTTACCCATGAAGCACTTGAAATAGCCCACATTTACTGACAAGCTGAAGAGGTTTCCTGTTCTATAGCAGTTCCTTATAGACACTTAAATACATTTTGCTTTCTGGGGCAGTTGAGACATTCCTCCGTGCTAATATTCTGAGCTACTTTACCAAATCCTCTTTGTGCCTTCTTAGGTAATATAAGGGCAAACATCAGGGGGTCCCTGTATTGTCGGCTGCTTGAAACAATAGCAGAATTGTTTCCTAGATGTGTTTAGTATCTCTTTTATCTAACAAGTATAGGACCCTTAAGAGATGGATTGAGAGATTTTTATCAACTAGAGCTCCTGATGTACTGCTCCATCCACGGTTCTCCACTAGAATAGAAAGGCTTTATCTTGTTCCTGCTGCACCTAGAAACCCAAACTGCATTTGTGACAAAGTAGTTACTCAATAAATACTTGTTGAATATATAAATACATTAAATGCTCAGTAAATGTTTTTAACAACTATGCTTAAAGAGAAACTGGGTGATCAAGAGCATCATTGGGGGATCTTTATAAAAATATGGATTCCAAACTCCTGGCCTCACCAATCAGAACCCTGGAGGCGGCACCCAGGTGATTCTGAAAGTTACCCAAGCTTAGGAAATACAGAAAAGCGTCTCCTGCCGTGTCCTATCCATTCATCAGGTAACTCCTCCTCCAAGAAGCCTCTCATGCTTTCCATCTCCCTGGCCGTGGAATATGGTTGCCTGGCCTTTCTGGTGCAATGTCATTACTTTTCCAGTGGCACTGTTCTCACTTTGCCTTGAGCCTTAGCAGTTTGTCTTCTGTCTTAACCCATTTAGGTAGAGGGTAAATTCCTTGCAAGCGGGGACTCCATACCTTACAGTATCGCACACATATCTCAGAGGAAGGCAGACATTGGAATTAATACCTCCAATGGACAGAATACCGTAGCGTGTGACAACAATGGCTAATGATAGCGCTAATAGTCATTGTTCTACAGTTAATAAGGGAATATATGAGTTAAGTTCTATTGTCTCGTCCTCATAATTCCCATACACATATTTCACCACCTCCATGGCTTCCTCCCACCCCCCGATTGTTGCCTCTTTGCTTTTCTAGATAAATTAGTAAAAGGTAAATTGAGACCTTAAAAATGTCCCAAGGGAACGCAGGCCACCCTCCTGGCTACACTGTACAAGTCAGTGCCTCCTTTGCATGATGGTGATATGAACAAAGACCCTTTAAACTCCAGTGTTCTTGGTGGTTGTGACTTCCTCCAAGCCCTTTGCAGGAAGTAAGTGGTAAGGCACATGCTGGATGCCTCGTTTTCCTCAGAACTCTAGACTGCCTCAGCCCCAGACGAGAGTTTCCTGTCGACCTCACTGAATGCCACCTAGAGCGAGTATGACAGGGGAGAGCTCTGAGCCTCCCCTGCTCAGCTGAGCTGCCTGCAAACCTTACCTCCCCTTTTTCTCACATCTGTGAATTACTCTTGTTCACAGTTGGTCCCCACTCTGATTACAGTTTTATTTCTTTAAAAAAAAAGAAAACAGTGGCTTTTCTGGAAGAAAAAAAACAATAACAAAACATTACTAATTAAATGGAAGAGATGTTCACATTTCCCTCCTCACAGACATTTGATAAACGTCTGAGGGTTTTTTCAGTCTGTTTCTTCCCCTTTTAGAATAAGATATGCAGATAAAATCTTCCTCTGCTGAAGTTTTGTTCCTTCCTGCCTTGAGTTTAACCCATCACATTCCAATGAGGCAAGAGCAAAAGCTTCAGTATTTGGTAAAGGGGGCAATCTCTGAAGATAAACTATGCTACATGCAATGCATGGATGAATACCACAAAAGTGATACTGAGCAAAAGAGGCGAGACACAGATGCACCGTTCATGGTAGCCAAGAGGTGGACACAGCCCAAATGTTCAGCCGTTGATGAATGGGTAAACAAAACGTGATACATCTCTGTGATGGAATGTTATTCAGCCATGAAAAAGAATGGAGGACCAATATATGCTACAACTTGAATAAATCTTGGAAAACAATATGCTAAGTGTAAGAAGCCAGGCACAAAAGACCACATATTATATTATTTCATTTATGTGAAGTTCCTAGAGCAGGCAAATTTATTGAAATAGAAGCATATTAGTGTGGCCAGAGTGCAAATAAAACAGAGGTATATTTTTGAGAGTCATTAAAATGTTCTAAAATTGGATTGTAGTGATGGGGGCACAACTCTGTAAATTTACTAAATATCGTTGGATTGTACACATGGAATGGGAGAATGTCATGGTATGTAAATTATGCCTCAAAAGTTATTTTTATTTATTTATAAAAGCTATTTTATTTATTTGAATTTTTTGAATTTATTAATTTTTTTAAAAAATTTAATGATTATTTATTTTTGAGACAGAGAGAGACAGAGTGCAAGCAGGGGAGGGGCAGAGAGAGAGGGAGACACAGAATCTTAAACAGACTCCAGGCTCTGAGCTATCAGCCCAGAGCCTTACACGGGGCTTGGACCCACAAACTGTGAGATCATGACCTGAGCCGAAGTCAGATGCTCAACTGACTGAGCCACCCAGGTGCTATTTTATTTTATTTTATTTTATTTTGCTTTGTTTTGTTTTGTTTTATTTTTTATTTTAGAGAGAGAGTGGGAGAGAGGGGCTGAAGGAGAGAGAGAGAGAATCTTAAGCAGGCTCCATACTCAGTTTTAACACTATTTTAAGATAGAGACTACTCATCAGGATATTATAAATAAGAGCTACATGTCCAATTAAATCAGTGGATCCCAAAGCTGCAAGTCTGTAAGAATCACATGGAAGGGGCCTTCGGGTGGCTCAGTCATGTAAATGTCTGACTCTTTTTAGCTCAGGTCATGATCTCACGGTTCATAGGATCTAGCCCTGCGTCATGCTCTGTGCTGACAGTGTGGAGCCTGCCTGGGATTCTCTCGCTCCCTCTCTCTGCCCTTCCCACACTCCTGAAAATTAAATACATAAGCTTTTTTTTTTGTTTTTTAAAGAATCACATGGGAATCTTCTAAAAAGTTCAGGGACCAGGATACCAGTCCTGGAGATTCTAAGTTCACACGTATGAGCTGAAATACAGTTAGGTGTTTGTTGTTTTGTTTTGTCTTGTTCTCTGCTTCAGATTCTTCAGGTGATTGTGATAGTCAACAAAGTTTGGGACACAAGAGTATAAAGGAGTGAGGCCAGATCAGTAGTTCTCAACCGGGGTGATTTTGTCTCCCAGGGAACACTTGGCAGGGCCTGACATCCAGCTGATAGAGGCCAGGGATGCTGCTAAACATCCTATAATGCTGAGACTCTAGGGTTCAAATGATGAGCATGGCCATCTGTGTGTACTGTTCTCGTGGTGTGTAGACAATCCACTTTGGGGATCGGGGGACGGAGGAGCTTGCACTGTTCTAAATTGTACATACTGTGCTCCATATGCTACCAGTATATGTGGCTCGCACATGAGGCTCGTGTGTTTCTCTGACCTTCATTTGTGGCCCTCCTTATATTGAAGTTAAGTAAATTATGGTAATAGGTTTTTAAATATTGCCAGCACAAATTTACAGCTGGGCAGGAGCAGAGCATTAGACATGAAGTATCAAAACCGAGTTCAGATTGTGAAGTTTCCACCAGGAATGAATAAATTGGCATAGCCATTTGCTTGTGCTTAATTCATTAGCACTAGCAAAACTGTCAAGGGGGGTGAAGAGTACATTCTTGGGGCCTTCCCTTCTCTCCACTTCCCTCGTGCAACCAGGAACTTCATGCTTTTTTCTCCTTTAGCCCTGCAGCAAAATCAGCACTCTAGAAAGGGCCTTGTAAATACACTCCCATTAAGAAACTGACAAACCTTCCAGGTCAGAAAGTTTGTGCCCTTGGAGGGGAACGGAGAAGTGGCTTCTAACATTTGCTGCACAGAGGTAGAATGGAGCAGTAGAATGAGCATGGGCTTTGCTCACATGCCACGTGCAAAGTTCAAATCCCAGGTCCACCACTTACTACTTGTGGATGGTGAGAAAGTCACTTAAGCTCTGTGACACTCAGTGTTCTCATCAGTAAACTGAGGGTATACCATCTAGATTGCAATGTTGTGGTGAGGATTGGACAATACCTGTAATGAGCCTGGTACATGGTGAGCTCCAAAAGAGCAGACTTGCATTATCTGTCTTCATGCAAAACTTATGTCACCACCGGAAGTCTCTGATCCATGATGGGACCTCAAGAAATACCTGTTGAATGAGCAAGTGAAATGGTAGCCATTATTGCTGAAATTCTGCTCTGTGCAAATCTGGCCTATAGTATTTTCTCCTTTCGCAGATACGAAAGTGGAGCTGGATACCTGAGCCTGGTTCCTGGGATCACTAACCTTCTGTATTTTCTAACCAGGGGAAAGAAGGAGCCTTCATGGTACGAGATTCCAGGACTCCAGGGACATATACCGTGTCTGTTTTCACCAAAGGAATTGTAAGGTATGGTGCTAACTCATCTCAGCGAAGTGGGGAGAAATAGTCCTGAGGTGGGTGAGCAACAGGCCACACACAGCAATGTCAGACAGGGCAAGAGGTAGAGGGGTCGCTAGAAATGGTGTGCTTTTGCTGATCCCTGAGAAAACCAAGTCCAGGGAGATTAAAAACATCACCAACATCATTTTTCTGGAAAGTGACAGCGCTGAATCCAGATGCCACTTTCTCTTCTAAATTAGCATCCGTGCATGCAGAGCTCTAAAGAAATAAAATCCTTGACGCTGCATCTGATGCATTTTTAATTTAACCCACAGCTAACAAAGAGGATACTTTCATCCAGAAGTGAGAAGATACGCATTTGAATTCTGGCTCTGCTAATAAAGCTACCTACCATTTATTGAGTCCTTACCATGTGTCTGAACCATACAGACTGTTTCTGATCCTAATCAGGTCTGAAAGCAGGTGTTACTATGCTCCTTTGCATCAAAGAAACTGAGGCTCAAACAGCTGATGGTGCCTCTTTGAGGCAATGGAGCTCAAGGGGTCATGCTCCAGCCTGCTGACTGCAAGACCCTAAGGCTTGTCTGCCCCTCTTCGTACCTCTGTTTCCTGCTCTGTAAAAACAATGTCTAAGAGGCTATCAAGGTCTCACATTCTCTACTAATTAAAAAATAAGTAGGAACAAAGCAGTTTTGCAATGAGCAAAGTCCAGTAAGAATTAATATCTGCCATCCTTCTGAGAGGGTAGAAAACAAAGCAAATAGGAGCACCTGGGCGGCTCCATTGGTTAAGCGTCTGACTTCAGCTCAGGTCATGATCTCATGGTTTGTGGGTTCGAGCCCCATGTCGGGCTCTGTGCTGACAGCTAGCTCAGAGCCTGGAGCCTGCTTTGGATTCTGTGTCTCTCTCTCTCTGACTCTCCCCTGCTCAACTGTTCCTCTCTTTTTTTCAGAAATAAATTAAACATTAAAATTTAAAAAAATAAAACAAAGCAAACAGGAATCTGATACCAGTAGACAGTTTTGTGTCGAAACATTGCTTCTTAATAATCACTGCATTTATGCTTCATTTGTTCAAGTGAGAATAACCCCTGCATAAAGCATTATCACATCAAGGAAACTAATGACAACCCCAAGCGATATTATGTAGCTGAAAAATATGTGTTTGACTCCATCCCTCTTCTCATCAATTACCACCAACACAATGGAGGAGGTAAGTTCTAAAGGACAAGATGGGGTGGGGCAGGGTGCCCTCACTGGGGAACTTGGAAAATAAATGACAAATGTCCCACCGAGTTTCTTCATCACAGACAAACTGACCATAAATAATAACTAAATCTACAAATAGAAAAGGATGCCAAATATTTGATCATATTACATGTTTTCCATTAGCAAATTCTGTGGTTAGACTCGTGGGATTTCACCACCTGCCCATCTGTGTTTAGGACTCTTGTTGGAGGGAGTGTGATATCAGTGTTTGGGCGTTGGGATTTGTTTCCCAGAATAAAAATAGCTTTTGCACTGGGGATTTTTTTTTTCCTGTTGGTTTAACTTGAACAGTTGCTATAGTAAAGCTCTAACTCTGGCCTTTCACTTTTTAATCAACCCAGGTCTGGTCACTAGACTCCGGTATCCAGTTTGTTCCTGGAGGCAGAAAGCTCCAGTCACGGCAGGACTGAGATACGGTGAGCAGCGCATTCACGAATGTCATGTGTTTGCACTAACTCACATCCTTCAAGGTCTGTGGCAAATTCTGAATGGGCTTTCCGTATACCTAATTCTTCCCCAGGCTTAAAAACTACCATTTTGGGTGTCTGGGTGACTCAGTTGGTTGAGCGTCCAACTTCAGCTCAGGTCATGACCTCACCATTTGTGAGTGTCAGCCCCGCAACCCCACTTCACATCCTCTATCCCCCTCTCTCTGTCTGCCCCAGCTTGAGCTCTCTCTCTCTCTCAAAAATAAATAAGCATTTAAAAAAATTATAATTAAGGGGCGCCTGGGTGGCTCAGTCGGTTAAGTGTCCGACTTCAGCTCAGGTCATGATCTCATGGTTCGTGGGTTCTAGCCTCGCATCGGGCTCGGTGCTGACAGCTCAGAGCCTGGAGCCTGCTTTGGATTGTGTCTCCCTCTCTCTTTCTCTGCCCCTCCACTGCTGACACTCTGTCTCTGTCTCTTTCTCAAACATAAATAAAACATTTTTAAAAGATGGCCATTAAAACAAGTATACTGTATATCTGGAGACAGTGTACACAAAGGAATATTTGCAAAGTGTGTAAGAGAGATGTATATATGAGCACATTTATCTAGGCCAAATCAAGGTCCATTGGTTTTAATGAAGAGTTTATCATTGAAGTGTTTATTAAGCACCTACTTTGTACAGAGCACTCTACTAAATGCTATCAGAAAAAAATATTAGAAAATAATGCCTTAGGACCACGTTCCCACCTATCTTCCAGAATTTCTATGTCATCTAGTTTGCTGGGTACAGTCCAGTGCAAGGGCTGGAAGCTGGAATCTTCAAGCATTCAGAAGTGTTTGTCTGCATAACATGGTATTAATTTTTTTCAATGCCATTAGGAAAGGCTTGCGTCTCCAGTGCCCTAAGCCCTGTTATTCCTTCTTGCCCTTTGGAACTGCTTCCCTCACTTTTGATTATCTGCCTGGAATCTAAAGGTATTTGAGTTTGCATCCTTTGGTCTAAACTGGCTGGCCAAGGAGAAGGCTGGAGTACTTTTTATTTTGTATCTCTTAGATGGGAGGTTCTCAAACTTCAGTGTGCATCTAAGCCATCTGGGATGCTTATTAAGAATGTTGGCTCCTGGACCTTACCCAACACTTACCAAAACACTGTCTCTGATAATGGGGTCCTGGAGTCTGCATGTTTAACAAATGCTGTAGTTGATTTTGACACAGGTGCTTAGAGTGTAATACTTTGAGAAACATTGCCGTGAGTTTTCCATCCCTAACTAACACCATATCTGGCACCCGGTGGGAACTCACTACTATTTTCCATTGAGTCTCTGCCTCAAAGAGGTAGAAATTGAGCTTTTTATGGTACTAGACCAAGTGCCTCCTTATGAAAATAAGGTAATTCTAATAACTATAGAATCCTAATGTGGTCCATGCTGGATAGGAATCTCAGAGATTATTTTATGAACACACTCATTTTGTTAGCGTGAACATTGAGAATCAGATTCCTTTTATTCCTTTACTGAATATTTCTTGAGAGCCTACCACATGCCAGACGGTGCTGGGTGGTACCTCTGTTCACACCCCTTAGAATCTACCTCCTTACTCTTAACCCCTGCTAAGGTGGAGCAGAGTATATAGTGGATGCTCTGGGTGGATGAATGAGTGAATGAATGAATGATCAGCTTGGGTGAAACTTGTTCTATGTGAAAAATAACAATAAAATACTTTCTGTTTTTAATGTTTATTTATTTGTGTGTGTGTGTGAGAGAGAGAGAGAGAGAGAGAGAGAGAACGCTAGTGGGGGAAGGGCAGAGAAGGAGGGAGATGGAGGATCCAGAGAGGGCTCTGCACTGACAGCAGAGAGCTCAATGTGCAGCTTGAACTCAGGATCTGTGAGATCATGAACTGAGCCAAAGCTGGAGGCTTAACCAACTGAGCCACCCGGGTGCCCAACAATAAAACACTTTCATTCAGGTATAGAAAAATAGTTGAGGTGTCGCAAGAACCCTTTCATTTATTTTCTTTGAGATCTTGATTAATGCCATTTTCCTTCCTCTTTCCCTTTGTGTAATCTCCTCCCACAAACATTTTTCATGGTTTTAAATGCATACCCTATGTTATTATTTAGGGGGTGGAAATAAATTTAAGATAGTTCTAAGTCTAAAGCCTATACTATTTGCCATCTTTATGTTATATTATCAATTAGGTAACACTGTGTCTAGGGCTATTAGTCTCCTCGCAGCCCTATACCTCATACCTACTACTTGCCAACCTTGGAAAAACCTCTTTCTCCCTTGTAGGGAAATGGGTGATTGATCCCTCGGAGCTCACTTTTGTACAGGAAATTGGCAGTGGCCAGTTTGGTTTGGTGCATCTTGGCTACTGGCTCAACAAGGACAAGGTAGCCATCAAAACCATTCAAGAAGGGGCTATGTCGGAAGAGGACTTCATAGAGGAGGCTGAAGTCATGATGTGAGTGGTCAAAACAAGAGTACGCAAAGATGCCTTTGGGATGACGTTCTGTGCTGTGTTCTTTGAATACCATTTTGCTGCCACGCTATGCCACTTCGCTGCTCAAATCTAGTGATGGTTTCCAGTGGCACGGAGACCAAAATCAAACTCCTCACCATGGACTATACGGCCTGTCATAGTCTTTCCCTGTCCATTGCCCAGTCTCATCTACTACCCATCTCTGCTCTGGTCCATGATGTGCCCGCCACACTGGCCACCATTTGTCCTCGCACACACCCTTTGACTCTCCACCATCCTTCAGGTCATTTTTGCTTTGGGCAAGGAGCATGTTTAAGTTAGAATTTATAACTTCTCACGCCTTGCCTTTTTCCTCCAGGAAACTCTCTCACCCCAAACTGGTCCAGCTGTATGGGGTGTGCCTCGAGCAGGCCCCCATCTGCCTGGTGTTTGAGTTCATGGAGCACGGCTGCCTTTCGGATTACCTGCGCAACCAGCGGGGGCTCTTTGCTGCAGAAACCCTGCTGGGCATGTGCCTGGATGTGTGTGAGGGCATGGCCTACCTGGAGGAGGCATGTGTCATCCACAGAGACCTGGTAAGAAGACTGAGGGCAAACAACAATAGGTCCAGGATGAAGGGGTGTGTCCCACTGAAACGTACAGCTACCCAGACTGAGAACACATTGACAAATAACGAGTCACCGACCATCTCCCTTCCCCTCTCAACTTCTTCCTTCTACCCACTTGGGGATGCCCTGGTAGGACTCAGATCTAGGCTCTAATCCCAGCCCTGCTTCTTACTTGTTCCCTCTGAGTCTGAGTTTACATTCTTCCAAAATGAAACTTAGAGCCTCACCTTTGTAACCGCTCTGTGCCTCATTTTCCTCTTGGTAAAATTCTCAGACTATTATCCAAGGATCTACCACAATCACACTGGGGTGATGCTAAAACCATCCTCAGAATCTCTGAGGGTCGGAGCTCAGAAATATTCATTTTAACATATCCCCCCCTTGGGATTTGTAGGCACATTTAAAATTTGAAAAAAAAAAATTAAAAAGAGAATGGAGTCTTTTATCACGAAGGTTCTTCCAGTGCACAATTCTGTGATACTAATTAGAGAGTAGGCACTCTCCCTATTGAGGAATAGTTTTAAGAGGATTAGCAACCTCAAAATATACTTATTTTAGTCAAATGTGTGACAGTTTTTTCATACCATCCCTAATGTTAACATTTCCTGTTGCATCAGGTCGCGTTAGAACGCATCATTGGTTAAACACCACCACCACAGATTTCTCTTCTATTTTTTTTAATATTTTTATTTATTTCTAGGAGAGAGAGAGAGACAGCGTGAGCAGGGGAGGGTCAGAGAGAGAGGGAGTCACAGACTGAAACAGGCTCCAGGCTCTGAGCTGGCAGTCAGCACAGAGCCCGACGCGGGGCTCGAACCCACGAACCGCGAGATCATGACCTAAGCGAAAGTCGGACGCTTAACCGACTAAGCCACACAGGAGCCCCAGATTTCTCTTTTAATTAGAATCCCAGGAATAAAACTAAATGACCAAACTTACTCATCCTGATAAGGGATCTTACACATTTAACTTTTTAGCTAACTCCAGTCGGGTGCTAGTGAAGCTTAATTAGCATCTGTAAAGCTCCTGAGTGCCCTTGATCAGCGGCACAAAGAAACGCAAAGGACTGAGATTTTAGGAGACTCCTTAAACTGCTTATCCACCAAGCTTTCCTTTTTCTTTTGTTTGCCTGTCTCCATTCCAGGCTGCCAGAAATTGTTTAGTGGGAGAAAACCAAGTCATCAAGGTGTCTGACTTTGGGATGACAAGGTAATATGGGGACGTGGTATCACCAAAGTCTCAGGGAGGGGACTCAGGCCCCCAGAACATTCTGACATTCTTTCTCCACTCTCTGCCCAGGTTCGTCCTTGATGATCAGTACACCAGTTCCACAGGCACCAAGTTCCCGGTGAAGTGGGCATCCCCGGAAGTCTTCTCCTTCAGTCGCTACAGCAGCAAGTCAGATGTGTGGTCATTTGGTGAGTGTCACTCTGACCCCACACCCACATGATTCAGGATTGCCCGTCAGCTGTTTTATTTGTCAGATCAGGCAACTCTTCTTGCCCAGGACTCTGGGTGATGAGGGCATCTCCCTGATAGTCTGTGTGATATCAGCTCTGAAAAGTATGAAGGGGCCTCATTATTGCATTTGGTGTTGGAGATCTTTGAAATGGGGGTTGAAATGAGGATGGAAATGTGAATTCTGGTGACAGTTTCTATGAGATCAAAAGATGGAGGAGTCAGAAGATTAGGATATGAGTTCTTTGAGGACCAGGGCCATATTTTGTTCAAAATTATATTTCCACAACAACAATTCATCGAGCATCTACTATAAGCCAGGGCTAATCTAGGTACTCACAATGCGGTTGTGCATAGGATATGAAAGACTCCTATTCTCTTGGAGGTAAATTTTAGGGGGAGACGGATAACAATCATGTAAACAAGCTAATAGTTATGTGTGTAAGACAAAGTCATATAGTAATAAGTAAATGCTACGAATAAAACAAAACCATAATGGGATAGAAACTGAATAGGACGGAGGGTCTGTTTTAAACTTTTAAAAAAATATTTATTTATTTTTGAGAAAGAAAGCACAAGCAGGAAAGGGGCAGAGAGAGGGGGAGACAGAACCCCAAGCAGGCTCCACACTGTCAGCGCAAAGCCCAACAGGGGGCTCAAACCCACGAACTGTGAGATTATGACCTGAGCCAAAGTCAGATGCTCAACCTACTAAGCCAACCAGGCGAGAGGGTCTATTTTAATGACCATGGTCTGGGAAAGCCTCTCCAAGGAGGGGACCCTTGAGCACAGATCTGAATGATGAGAGAGAACCATCCCCATCTGAAGATCCAGGGATCTTCAGCAATGTTAAAAAACAGCAATTATAAAAATGCGGTGTGTTGAAAGGAAAGAGAGGTACTGCCTTACTGAGGAACTGTAGACAATGAACTTGTCAGCCCACGATAACGTGATCAGAAGCCCTGATAAGTGCAAGTGGACATGAATGAAAGGCCAGAATGAATGATGTTGGTATGGCAGAAAGTTCTAAATATTCTTGCTAGATTTGTCATATCATCCTAAGCCATAGTTTGTGTGAACTAAACTATGCACAACTGTACACAAATTATGCACAAACTAAACTATACACAAAAACATACCAGACAACCTCTTTGATTTGGATTATAAGAAGGGTTATACTTTGGAAAGAAAGGAGTTGGAGTTTGATTTTGTCATTCTATATGAAGGGAACATTTGCCAAGTGTATTGACCTAGAGTGCCAGGGAGAAGCTGACTCATTAAATCTCTTAAGAGAACTAGTTTTGAAGTCTTCCCCAGCATTTTAGAATATTCAGTTCCAACAATCAAGTGGTTTGTTAATTTTTAGTTCTTCTGAACTGTTCCTTAAAACAGCTTCCCGATTCCACAGGCCTAGCTCAGACTTTGTTATTCAAATGTAAGTTACAGGATGAACTTGGAAGAAACAAAACTGCACCAGAGCCATCTCAGAAGATTCTTTTTTCCCCAAGTACCTATACAACGGGGAAAGGTATGGCTGATGTGTGGCCACTCTCTATGCTGGTCACACTGCACCAAGCCAGATGTCCCATAAAGAGATGTTAGTAGCCATGGACACTATATAACATCCACCTGCAAACTCTGCATGAGGCCTTTTCTGCCATAGGTTGTCAGTTGGGAATTTTCTGTTTCATCTTGCAATTGGAAAGTTGGGCTACAGTCCATGGCTGCCTAAGGTGTGCGCCCTTCAGTATCCAAAAATGAGTCTGCCTGATGGAAGCAGGGTGGAGAGGGTAGATTACCAGATGGATGGCATGCCTGAGAAACAGGAACTTGGGTGGACTGAGAGCTTGATGCCTGCCTCTAGACCATTGAGATTTGTTATGCATTTTAATACTTTTGCCCTAATTAGCTGTGCTATTTTAAGCAAGTCGAGTAAGCTCTTTGGGCCTTTCTCAATTTCCAATCAATGCATTACAAAGTTGGCACGAAAGCAATTGTTTTCAAATGAGCTTTGAGCAACTGGCCTCAATTTTCCAAAGAAATCTCACTAGGAATTCTGACATCTTGAGATGCCAGAACAGTCTTATTTAGAGTCAGGTTCCAAGTTTCCAGAACAACTGAGACACCTCTGAAGACCCCCTAGAAATCCTGATCCAGAGGTCTGGGCCGGGGCCTCAGGATCTTCCATTTGAACAAACTTCTGAGGTGACTTTTATTCAGACATTTTGGGAATCATACTTGGGAAAACTCTGCCCTAAGAATCTCTGAAATGTGCTTTGAAAACCACTAAAATTGGTGATCTGCAAGCTCTCTTCCCACTCTGGCATCCTATGAATATATTAGTACAGAATAAAACTGTCTTCTGAAGATAGAAGAGGAAAGGGGGTTAAATCAGAGGTCACAAATAGACAACCTAGGGATGTGTTTTGCTCTGTCTACACAGAATTTGTACTTTTTAAAATATTTATTTATTTATTTTGTGAGAGAGAGGGCACGAGCAGGGGAGGAGCGAGAGAGAAAGGGAGAGAGAGAATCCCAGGTAGGCTTCATGCTATCAGGGCACATCCTGATGTGGGGCTCTATCCCACCAACTGTGAGATCATGACCTGAGCCTAAATCAAGAGTTGGATGCTTAACCAACTAAGCAACCAGGCACCCTCACATATTTTTAAAAATCAAACTGAGTTTCTATTTTAAAACTCTCAATTTATGACTTTTTTTAAAAATCAGAAAATGCAGCAATACTGAGCCCTCATACCCATGCACCCTATGTTCGCTGGAGCTAAATCACAACTGTCCTCAGAAGACAGAATTTGACCCCCAGTTCTCTACAGTTCATCCTCTTCCCCATTACAGCACGTCTCATCCACTCCATTCATTTACATGATGTATAGACATTTGAGTTTGTGTCCCCTGCAACTTTTAGTAGTGGCAATTGAGTTGGACATAACAAAGGGCTGAGCTTGAAAGTTCTTCATCACTAGGAAGACTGGGAAATCTCTGTTCTATAGAAATACAACACAGGCCTAATAAGCCTCAGGGGGCTTGATGTTATACTTCCTGAAGGTAAGGACTTGAATCTCAATGTCAAGGAATCTGCAATTTCTAGATGTATGTTTGTTTGCTATATGTGACCTTTATCATTAGCTGTGCTTCACTCCCTGTTTCTTGTAGGTGTGCTGATGTGGGAAGTCTTCAGCGAAGGCAAAATCCCATATGAAAACCGAAGCAACTCAGAGGTGGTAGAAGACATCTCTACTGGATTTCGCTTATACAAGCCCAGGCTGGCCTCCTCAAATGTCTACCAGATCATGAATCATTGCTGGAAAGAGGTCAGTAAAAGAAGTGGTTTTACCCTGCGTCATCATCTACAACTTTAGGTTCTGTCCCATTCTCTAGAGAAAGGAACCCGCTTAGAGGATGAGGAAGCCTGTATGACTGAAGTAGATTAGCAATAAAGTGGCTTTGGGTGTCTACTAACTAAAGAGGTTGCCCATCCCTAAAAGAGCTGACAGGGACCTTAAATATTATTTGATCTGCAATGTAATTTCACAAGCCAACATACTGTGAGAGAGGAAAAGGGGGTAAGACCTATGCCTGTATGTCAGTTTTCTGAGAAAAGACATCCATAACATAAAACCATTAAGTGTACATGAAGTTAGCTCTAAAAATTGGTGAGTAGAAGTTTACATATGCTGTGAAAATATTAAAATGACTTAACTAGGGGGCACCTGGGTGGCTCAGTTGTTTGAGCGTCCAACTTCAGCTCAGGTCATGATCTCGTGGTTCATGAGTTTGAGCCCCACATGGGCTCACTGCTGTCAGCACAGAGCCCACATCATATCCTCTGCCTCCCTCTCTCTACCCCTCCCCCACTTGTGTGTGTGCTCCCTCTCTCTCTCTCTCTTTCTCAAAAATAAATAAAACATTTAAAATAAAATACAATAAAATGACTTAACTTAAGTTCATTTTATTTGTTCAAATTTAGAATGAAAAACCAATTACTCTGCACCCTCCCAGATGCCTCAGTTATCCCGTGCTTGGGTTGCAGGCTATACCTTAAGCCACATAAGCATCAGACATAAGCATCATGTCCTTTGGATGAGTTAGAAAGTTTTAAAGTTCAACGACAATTAAAAGCTGCTGAATAGAGAATGAACACAAATTCAGATTGTTGCAGGGTAGGAAGGTGGAAATGAAAAGTATAGGATCCTTAGACTTTGTCTCAGCTTTACCACTCCTTAGTCATTAATCTTAGTCAAGTCTCTGAACCTTCTTTTTCTTACTGATAAGAGAAGTAAAGAATGCTTGATCTATAAGTTCATAGAGGCTTTGTATTCAGAAACAAACAATGAAGACATAAAGAGCACAAAACAAATCCAGTCCAACTTCACAAGGATTAAATACTGTAATAATTATGACAGCTGAAATTTACTTAGCAATTTTTAAAAACTCTTTCATTTATTTTTAAGTAGACTTTATTGTTCAAAACTGTTTGATTTACAGAAAAAATAAGCAAATAGTACAGAGTACCCATATACCTCCTCCCCTATTAGTAACATTGTGCACTACTGTGGTACATTTGTTACAATTAATCAACCACTACTGATACATTATTATTAACTAAAGACCATGATTTGCATTAAGATTCATTCTTTGTTCTGTATAGTTCTAGGAGTTTTGACAAATATATAACATCATGTATCTACCTTTATAGTATCATAGAGAATATTTTCACTGCCTAAAAACCCAGCTTCATCTATTTATCCATTCCTTTCTTCTCGCCAAACCCCTGGCAACTATTGATTGTATTGTCCAAGTTTCACCTTTCCAGAATGTCAAACAGTATGTATCCTTTTCAGATTGGTTTCTTTCACTTAGCAATGCCGATTTAAGATTATTCCATGTCTTTTCATGGCTTGATAGCTCACTTCCTTTTGTCATTGAATAATATTCCACTGGATGGATGTACCACAGTTTGGCTATCCATTCACCTACTGAAGGACATCTTGATTGCTTGCAGTTTGGGCAATTCTGAATAAAGCTACTGTAAATATCTGTGTGCAGGTTTTTGTATGAACATAAGTTTTCAGCTCAATTGGGTAAATATCTAGGAGTATGATCACTGGATCATATGATAGCACTACATTTAGCTTTGTAAGAAACTGCCAGACTTTCTTCCAAAGTGGCTATACCATTCTGCATTCCCATCAGCAATGAAAATTCCTGTTGTTCCATATCCTCACTAGGAGTTAGTGTATCAGGTGTTTTAGATTTTAATCATTTTAATAGCTATATAGTGGTGTATCATTGTTTGGTTTGCAATTTGCTGATAAGGTGATGTTGAGCATCTTTTCATACACTTCTTTGCCATCTGTATCTCTTCTTTAATTAGGTGTCTGTTGAGATCTTTTGCCCGTTTTTTTCATTGGGTCATTTTCTTGCTTTTGGGTTTAAAGAAGTCTTTGTATATTTTGGATATAAATCCTTTATCAGCTATGTCTTTTGGAAATATCTTCTCCTAGCCTATGGTTTGTCTTTTCTTTCTCTTAAGTGTCTTTTACAGAGCAGACATTTTTAATTTTAGTGAAGCTCAACATCAACTGTTTTCTTCCATGAATCATGCCTTTAGTATTGTATCTAAAAACTCATTACTGAACCCAAGGTCACCCAGATTTTCTCGTACGTTATCTTCTAGAAGTTTTCTAAGTTTTGAATTTTACGTTTACATCTCCAATCTATTTTGAGTTAGTTTTCGTAAAGGGTATAAGGTCTGTGTCTAGAGTCATTACACTGTATGTGGATATCCAATTGTTCCAGTACTGTTGTTGAAAAGACTACTCATTGAATGGCCTTTGCTCCTTTTTCACAGATCCGTTGATTATATTTGTGTCAGTCTATTTCCGGGCTGTCAACTCTGTTCCATCGATTCATTTGTTGATTCTTTGACCAATACCACGTTGTCTTAATTACTGTAGCTTCACTGTGAGTCTTGAAGCGGGGTAGTATCAGTCCTCCAACTTTGTGCTTCTTCAGTAGCCTGGTGTCCACTGTTCTGAGTCTTTTACCTTTCCCTATCAACTTCAGACTCTGTGAGTATCTACAAAATAACTTTCTGGGATTCTGACTGTGATTCTGTTGAATCTATAGATCCAGTTGAAAAGAAATGGCATCTTAACAATATAAGGTCTTCCCATCCTTAAATATGAATGATATTTCATTTATTTAGATCTTCTTTGATTTCTTTCTTTAAAATCTTATATTTTTCCTAATATGGATCCTGTCTGCATTCTGTGAGATTTATACCTAAATATTTTCTTTTATATGTTATTTACCACTTATTTTTATAGTGCATTTTGTAATTTTTTAAATGTTTATTTATTTTGGAGAGACAGAGAGAGACAGAGCATGAATGGGGGAGGGGCAGAGAGAGAGGGAGACACAGAGTCTGAAGCAGGCTCCAGGCTCTGAGCTGTCAGCACAGAGCCTGACGCGAGGCTCGAAATCACAAACCACAAGATCATGACCTGAGCCGAAGTCAGGCACTTACTGACTGAGCCACCCAGGGGTCCTTTTATCATACATTTTTAATACATGATTTTATTTAATACTCACAACAGTCTTAAGAAATAGATCTATTCTTATCCGCATTTTACAGACAGAAAAACTGAGGTTCAAACAAGTTAAGTAACTTGCTCAACATCACCCAGCTAATGAATGAAACAGCTTAGATTAAAAAGCAGGCCATATGATTCCAGAATACCGCTGTCAACAACTGAGGCAGGATGACCTCAAATACAATACATACAGAAGCTCATTTAAAAATCAACAGAGGGCTATTGGATTCTGGTTTGCTTTTGGAATCAACTATGACACACAAGTACCAGGAACTCACAGAGTTCTTTTCTTCCCTCTCTAGAAACCAGAAGACCGGCCACCTTTCTGCAGACTCTTGAGTCAACTGGCTGAACTTGCAGAATCAGGACTTTAGCAGAGACTCAGTGCCAGGCCGTGGGCTGCAGATCCTGAATGAGGGAAGTAGATTCTCCATTCACAGAGCATTAAAAGCTGCCACCAGCCCAGGACTTCCCAGAGGCGGCTGGCCTGTGGCGCTGGTCCCCGAGCTGCCACAGAGGCAGCACCCTGACAGGGGCTGGCACCTGGCCACAGGCAGGAGGCTCGGCCACTGAACTGGGAGCCAAGCCAGAGCAGCAGCGATATCTCTACCCTCCTTCCAGCCTCTTATTGTGTGTGGTACACAAACACTCTGACAGCTTTTAGGCAACATTTCTTGCACTTCTTAGAGAAAAGGAAAGATGGGGTAGAATGATGGATTATTATTTGTATCATTAGTTCAAACATGAAATACAACGTTTATGGTCAACGGTTTAAGAGATCTAAAGTTTATGGCTGAGGGATTTTTACTTGACCCAATAACACAGAATCCCAGGATATGGGGCAAGAGAAATGAGGAGTGTGGCTCCTTTTCAAGGAGAACCGGTGAACTAATTAAGGTCAAACGGTGTAAACTCAGCCGCCGTAATGTCGTCAGCTATAAGCTTCCTGCCGTAGAGGATGATGGTCCCAATGCTCACATCTGAGGCCTGATAATCTGAGATGCAGCTTTATGACATGTTACCCATCGGACGCACGGCCCACTTTACTCCTTGAAGGGACGTGATGGACTGAGGTATACCATTTCGAACTCATGGTTGGGGCTGGCGTCTGGACAGAAAGAGGGCATCAGATGGGTGGGGGAAAAACTGGTACAGAGAAAGGCCTGGGAGGTTAGCACTCCGACACCCACCTTTAGTACCAAACCAGTCAGGTGACTGTGCCTTCCCTTCCACACAGAATGCTTCCGCGGGCATCTTGGGAGAAGATGATTGCTTCTGAGCACTGACTCCCACTGAGGACCCCACCACCGATTTTTCTGGCCTCTAGGATTAGTCCCCTCTCTGCACTGTTCCACCCTCATCAGCAGAGGGCAGCATTGTGCTGGGCAGTGTGGTCTTGCAGAGAAATCCAAGCTTGTAACAGGCCCTAGAGGTTTGCAACTTCAAGGCTGAGGCTTCACGGTCTCCTGAAAGTTTCTGAGAGGAAGGAGGGGTCTATTCTTGCTCAAACCATCTGAATGGAAACAGTCAGGCACTGAGTATGGTGCTTTCAAGATGCACAAACCTGCCTACTGTTGACTGAGCACTGAAATATGCAAAGTAACATACTGAGCTACAAACCTTCTCTGCAGAATTTCATTTCATCCTGAGTTCACACCAACCCCATGAGAAAGTATTCTTATTCCCATTTTACAGATAATGGAACTGAGGCTTTAAAAAGCCAAGACACCTCCCAAAGTGACAGTTAGGAAGTGTAGAGCCCACATCTGACTCCAAGTCACTTTCCTTATTTCTATTCAACACTGCCTCCTACTGATGATGAAAAGGATTGCAGAGGAGATGAATACAATTAGGGGAAAGACCTAGAAAAAGCCAATAAAGAAGTCAGCCACAGAGTGATGTTTCTCCCACATAGACCACTATGGTTGGCCATGTGGCCCTCCAAATTGGAATAGGATCTTCTTTTTCCTCATTTGTAGCTTCACCTTTGTTAGAGTTAATGACTTTGGAGTTAATTAATTAACCCTTTGATTCACCCACCCCTCCAGAGTCATGTTGCATGAAGCCATTTATAGATGAACTTCAAAGCAGCTTTGAAAGATCCTCCTGCGGGTGTATAAAGGCTTCCTTTAATTATCATCTCAACCTTGAGCCAGCTGCACTCTTCTTGGACGCTTTGTGGGGAAGGGTATTCCCTGATGTAAGAGAGATTTCATTTTACTACAGCATTCAGATGAAGCTTTTAGAGAGATTACTGGGTAGCATAGCCATTCGCTCTTCTGTGTGATATGACCAGTGGGAGATTCAGATTCATAACTTTTAACTATAATAATTGTTTTAAAAATTTCTTTAATGTTTATTTTTGAGAAAGAGATAGAGTGTGAGTGGGGGAGAGACAGAAAGAGAAGGAGACACAGAATCTGAGCCGTCAGCACAGAGCCCAATGTGGAGCTTGAACTCAGACCACAAGATCATGACCTGATCCAAAGTTGGACATTTAACCGACTGAAACACCCAGGCGCCCCTTACCTATAATTATTGTGAAACTGGTTGCCTCAAGATAAAACTCTATCATTCAGAAGATGATCTTACTCAACATATCCAAAGTCATCCCTGTTTACTTGTTGGCCTTTTGTACATTCTCTTGTGGAACCCTTAATTAGAGATGATTTCTGGAACATCCGGCCTAGAAGGAAAACATCAAAATTGACTGATTTCTGTGGTCTGGTTTCAAAAATTACCCCGTGCAGTGTATCATCTTGTTCACGCTCAGATTCACTGGGGCCTTAACTGAGCACGTGTCAGCAGTTCACTCCCCGGTGTCCTTTACTGCAAAAGGGGCTTCCTGTCTGTGTTTCTCTTCCCCTCTCACATGTTGAAAATGGTACCATGTGTTCACAAGGAATTCCCTTATACAAGGTTTTGGTTCCAGATGCATTTTATAGATTTTGCATTTTGTGCCTTTTGAGACTATTTATATTTAGATGTATTGAATATTTATTAGTGTACAGTCACTGCTAGTATTCACAATAAAAATGTTACAAATATCTCTAAGCATTTATAAAGCACACATAGTTGAGGGTTGCGTCTAGCAAATAAAGCTGTATGTTTTAATAAATACAGTGTATATGGCCTGCATTCCATTTGCCCAAATGTCAAACAACCAATAATTTTCCTTAAATAAAAATGGTTACATGGCTTCATGTTCCACAAACAATTAAAGACTATATATCATTCAACATTTGTTCAACAAGTAAATATGAAATGCTTCTCATGTTCCTATAATACACTCTGCTTAGAGCTACAGAAACAAAGATGAAAGAGGCAGTCTTTAGTTTTTAGAAACTCCAGGTATGGTTAAGAAGGCAGACATATAAACAAGTAAAATTACCCAGCAATGAGAGCAACAACAGAAATACAGTCTAAGAGGAGAAGAGCTCAGAAAGTCACGGAATCTACCAGGGGAAGGGTGACCTCAGGAAAAACTTCCTGGAACCTTGCTGCTCAAAGTGTGGTCCCTGGACCAGCGATAGTAGCATGAGCAGCTGGTGAGAAGTGTGAATCCTTTGGCTCGGCCCCAAGACTCACTGAATGAGAATCTGCATTTTCACAAAATCCCCAGGTGCTCATAAGCACATTGAAGTTTGAGAAATACCGTCATAGAGGATATAATGTCTGACTCAGTTTGAAAGATGAATTATCTTTTTTCTAGCAAGCAAGTAGGCAGAAATAAGAGAGATGCTTGACACTAGAGGTATAGGGGAAACAGAATGTATGGAGAAGCTATTAGCTTCCCCTTGCTGAGTGGAAGTGGGGATGGGCACAAGGTGTTGGCAAGGGTGAGGATGACAAAGGCAGAAGGCAAATTGAAACTGAAGCTGTAAATCTAGACAAGGACCATATTCGAAAAGACAAGAAATGTTGGAACTCTACCTATAGATAGAAAAGGAGAGAAGGTCAAACTTGTCTAAAAATACATTCTGGCAGCAACATAGTGAGTGTATTTGAGAGAGGTAAAGCTGATAGAAGAGAAGCAATATGAAGATGAATTTCGCCTTGTTCCAAGTACCAGATTATTGTTCATATTCATTCGCTGTCATCTGCTGTGTGGGTGACACAGAGAAATTGTAATTCGGAGTTCTTCAGTCCCAGTTGGACAGCAACGAATAGCTATTCCCCTGCTTCTTAAAGTCCCAGTGAAAAACAGGCTGGCTTATATTTTTGGTGTGTTGAGCTGTCCCCATACCTTAGTTTTACCAAATGCCCATGTCCACTGCAGGAGCCAGTTCACACACCAAAGGACCACTAAGTACAAGTGAAAAAGCCTACAGCTTCTACTCAGTCCTTTGTGGGACTCACCCTTGGGCTTGGCTCCTACTGGGAAATGACCCAGATATGAAACTCCTAAATCGATTGAATGAACAGCTCTGCTTCTCAGAGTGTTTATCCTGCAGACCCTATTCTCCCTGGACTCTCCCAACGCAAAAGTCCATCCTCTTGAGAAAGAGGCGGGAACATAACCCATTCAGCAAGATGGGCGGTGTGTATTTGTGTGTGTGTGTGTCTTCAATGACCGTGAGGTTCTCTTCAAGTCAAGATGTGCAGTAGGCTTTTGGGATCACAGAATCACACAGTAACTGTTAGAAGGAGTTTTAGAGATCATTTATTCATACGTAATAGTAACCATTCACCAGAAAGTGCTTGGCACTGTGTAGGGTGTGTAAGATGAATATGATATCTTATCTGTTAGAGACCAAACACTTCACACGCAAATTAAGATAATTCAAGGAGGACTTATTTACAAAAGGATTATGTAAAACCATGTGGGTCAGGTTTAGGGGAACTGCAAAGTAGTACAGAGGAAAATAACAGCCAAGGAGCAGTTATCACCTCAAGGCCTGAAGAGACAGGAGGGAGAGTGGTCATTTGAATGTGATAGCAGAGTCACCTGGAGAAGGTTGCCTTCAGAGGAGAGGACCTTTAGTAAAGTAAAGCCCAAGGTAACATCATGAAGAGAAAGCAGGGGAATAAATACACTGGCCTTTCTCTCCTCCCTTACCCCATCAACTGCTGGGGTTTCTTGTTAGCCAAATTCAGCTGGAAGCAAGAGGATGAGGAAACCGTAGCCGGGCCATCCATAGAGGTAAGTCTCTAGGGGAAAGAGCAGGGTGCAAAAAGGAATGGGTTTGGAGAAGAAGACATCTAGATTGGACACCAGCCTTCTTATAAGAAGCCCTCAGGCTACTAAAAAAGTCCAACATGTAAACAAATACAGTTGATGCTTCTTTTTTTTTTTTTTTTTGAATATTTTTTATTTCTTTCTAGGAGAGAGAGAGAGAGAGAGAGACAGCGTGAGCAGGGGAGGGTCAGAGAGAGAGGGGGTCACAGACTGAAACAGGCTCCAGGTTCTGAGCTGGCAGTCAGCACAGAGCCCGACACGGGGCTCGAACCCACGAACCGCGAGATCATGACCTAAGCGAAAGTCGGATGCTTAACCGACTAAGCCACCCAGGCACCCCCAGTTGATGCTTCTTATTTGTAGTTTCTATACTTGCAAATTTGGCTACTCATTGACATTTATTTGTAACTCCCAAACCGGTCCTTCCATAGCCTTCCATGGCATGCCCATGCCAGAGCAGTGAAAAATGTGAGTTGCCCTCTGGACATATTTATTCCCAGCCGAGGTCAAACAAGGTGGTGCTCTGTCATTTCATTTCAGCTCTCACTGTAAATGACTTTACAGTATGAGTATTTCAAGCCTTAGTTAGTGCCCTG